CAATGACCCTTCCATATAATTATTGCTCAACACGGATTCATTTTGTCCATCCACATTTGCTACAGATTATATCATTTTTGAATGACAGGTACAACCTGAGTTTATATGTACTTTACATGAAGCCTAAGTATATATGTTCTTTAAGGTTTGCATCCAGGTTGCCCCCCTCCCAGAGATCAAACTACTGACCCAAGATGCAACCCCCACAACGGTTGCCCATCTCCCGGATAGGTGAACAGATGTATTAGGTGACAAAAACGTGCCCAACCATTTCTGCCCAACCCGGGATCCCCGATTGTGATTGTGAGTAGAGAACGAAGCCGACTGAACTTGCAAGGAATGTAAGGACAAGGAGCTGGGATATGAGGACAAGGAGCTGGGATATGAGGACAAGGAGCTGGGATATGAAGACAAGGAGCTGGGATATGAGGACAAGGAGCTGGGATATGAAGACAAGGAGCTGGAATATGAGGACAAGGAGCTGGGATATGAGGACAAGGAGCTGGGATATGAGGACAAGGAGCTGGGATATGAGGACAAGGAGCTGGGATATGAGGACAAGGAGCTAGGATATGAGGACAAGGAACTGGGATATGAGGACAAGGAGCTGAGATATGAGGACAAGGAGCCGGGATATGAGGACAAGGAGCTGGGACATTGAGGACAAGGAGCTGGGACATTGAGGACAAGGAGCTGGGACATTGAGGACAAGGAGCTGGGACATTGAGGACAAGGAGCTGGGACATTGAGGATAGGAAGCCTAATCAATATGACACAAGTTCGTCAGAACAAAGTTATGACAGCTGATGCAGCTCATGCAATAAATTATCAAATAAATTAAGTGTTTCATTTAAATAATCCAGCTACACAAAAACTAATTAATTATTGGTGTGCCAAAAATTAAAAAAAAAACTGTATGAGGCTAATGACGCGACAATATAATTGCGGCGCCTGATGCAACAGGATCAATTAAGCCAGAGAGCTATTCTATCATGCTAACACAATTGACTTGATCATTATTCTTCATCAAATGAATATGATAAGTGTTGAATATCGCGAAATTGTCGGTTGAAACACTGTCGTACTCAAAAAATGGCAGCGGCTGGCGAAAATTGACATACTGTCCCGTTTTCTGTTTTAGGTCCTCTGGAAAGTTAACCTAACGTGCACTTTAGAATGACAGTTTCTTGACGTTGGGAATCTTAGGAGGTTAGTTAGTTTAGTTCATTTATTATGCACCCCATACCCATCCTGTGAGCGGTAGTGGAAAGGGTTACAGAGGCACATAATGGGCTCAGGGACTGAACCCCACAATTCATTTAGCTAAGCAAGTTACAATCTTGATGAACTAGTTACAAAATTCAGTATAACTGCTCATAATTATCATTTATCATCAGGATAGCTACATGCTCGACAGCTGATTGTCACCTACAGTCAAAGTAGAACATAATAACAAAAAAATGGGGTCAAAATGGGTCAAATAATGAGACCGTGAAAGTCGCTTAGTTTCCATAATATCCCCCCAAAAAACACCAATTGTTTGCTATACAAATATAAAACCACAAATAAATTAAATTATATATCTGATCACTTTCGTGTTCTTCACGTCGTTATAGACCCTTCTCTTCATAGTTTTGCTTATTTATATAAGCGTTCTAAAGGATTGTGTCAGAGAACAAACCAAAAACGTTATTAGAGCTACAAACTTTATTCGTAATGTTACGGGCTCACCATAGCCCGTGCTACATGGACACTTCGTCCTGAGTAGCTAAAGCTTTAACAACTTATTCGTAACAACTTAAAAAATTAACATTATGACTGGAATGAATAGATGTACATCATTATAAATCAATCTTAATTTTTTTTTAGACAAATTTTGTCTCTTACAAGCAGCCTATGGCGAATGAATTTATATTAAGTGTGACGTTGTTGTTGTTGTTTTAAGATTCGCTACCTGGAACAAAAAGTTCCAAGCAGCACGGGCTATGGTGAGCCCGTAAGCTATTCCACAGCTATGCAGGAGAATAACGTAACAATAGCGAAATAAGTGAGATCAGTTACGCTGTACCATTGGCAGTACTGTTGGTTTACGAGAGGTATTAAAGACACTTGTCATAAGAACGGAACTCCATGCCTAGAGATAGGATTTATGCCTTTGCGGACCCCGCTATATATAACCCTTTATCTAAACTATAAAGTTGTATGAAATAGGAACCCGTAGCCCTTATGCTTTAGGGTCGAAGTCTCTGTATGGAGGAATAAGATTTGCACCTCAATATGGACTGAATTATACCTCCTGCGTATAGCGAACCTTGCCTCTGATGTTAAATGGATTTAAAGCTGAGAGATATTGCAATTATATGAAGCAATGAAAGCTTCAACGAGACACACACACGAGGCAACAGCTTCACGCTCAACACGCCACATGTGCGGTTGAAAACATCAGGGGCCAGATTGGCGGGTAGGCGTTTCCATTTATTACCTTATGAGCCTATAGATGGAAAAGCATCTGGGGCCAGATTCACGAAGCAGTTACGCAAGCACTTACGAACGTGTACATCTTTCCTCAATGTTTGACGGCTTCGGTTACATTTATTAAACAGTTTACAAGCACAAAAACGTCCCAATCAACTGTTGTTATTATTATAAACAGCCTCCTGGTGCTTCGGAGCTCATTAGCTGTTTAATAATTGTAAACAAAGCCGCCAAAGATTGATAAAAGATGTACAGGTTCGTAAGTGCTTGAGTAAATGCTTCGTTAATCTGGCCCCAGATGCTCTTCCATCTATAGGCTCATAAGGTAATAAATGGAAACGCTTACCCGCCAAGGCCATAGATGTCTAGGCAATATTTCATTTTAAAACTGAGCTAAAAAAATCCTAACATTCTGGCAATTTATTTATTTATATACAAGACGGTACATTGGGTTTGTGAGAGTACATAACATTGGTGTTCATACATTCTTAGGAGTAATGTGACCTTTGACAAGCCGTTGGCTTCCTGTTCCCCGTCGAGGCCACTAGCAATGGTGACCCTTAGAGCTTCCTCTTGTGATATACCTTCAGAAATATGTAAATAAGATATATATAAGAATATATGCATTCAAAAATATGTATATCTTTCTGTCTGCGCCTAATCATGAAGGAGGCTGCACCAAGATTATTAATTATTGGTAATGGATACTAACAGTTCCAATCTACGGAGAGCCAATCATTGGAATGGGTTGATGGGGAATAAATATAGAAGAGACCAACATCTTCAATTTCTTGTTTTTATAAACGGACGTTATTCATCAGTTGATGATGAAAACTCATCACAAGAACGGAAAACTGAAATTAAAACGACGTTTCAAAGTATTGAAACAATTTATTGTATATCATCTACGGCAGTGTTTACTTTTTTAACAAGCTTAGCTACACAGCAATTCTATATGAGGGAAGATTTCAAAATATAAGTCAAGAGGTTAGCAATAATTTCATCTAATATACCTTTTTGGTAGGATGGGTAGTCATTCAAGCACTCAAGGAAAAATATGAGATGTCAATCTATCCTACACTATCAAGCTTAGGGTAGAGCACAGAAATATCTTCCAATATTCGTCAGTGAAAGAAATAGTTACATAGCTCAAAGTATCTCATATGCCATTTGATTTAAAATCATAGATAACCGGGCTGTTGAAAGATTCATTACCTGCCATAAATATCGATATCCAAGCCTAATTCTGGCAATCACAATTTCACATTGATGATATACTGTCCGGACAATATTTACAAATATAATTCGGTCATCCAAGAATCGCCAAATAGCATATTTACCTGAATTTACCTGAGGGCCACCAATACCAGTGGCCACGATGAGGACAGGAAGCTGGCGGCTTGCCAAAGGTCTCCCCATTTGCCCTGATGATCTTTTCCAGCTGTATTTTAAAACCCAACAGAGTTTTGGAGTCTACGGCTTCAGCGGGTAGGCGGTTCCACGGGTTTACAACCTATGGATGAAAAAACATTTCCCGTTTTCTGTGACTGTGGTGTACAAATATAACTCACTTATAATCTGTAAATATGTAAATACACAAAAGTTAGAGCTTCTCTAAGAGAAATAATAGAATGAATTATTCTGTTTTCGATAATATCTAAAATAATCTGAAAGCACTAACCGAGTAAATCCATTACCACAAGAGACCAAATCCCATTCAAACTACCTGGATAGTTATCTAGTACGACATTAAAAGATAGTACGACAGTACTACTACTACTATCCAAGTAGCAGTCCCCGTAGCGAAGTCGTAACACACTCGACTGGCGTTTCGCTAGCGGTTCGGCCTGGGTTCGTATCCTGGCCTGGGAGGATTTACTGGGCGCCAATCCTTAACTGTAGCCTCTGTTCCCTCAGCAGTGAATGGGTACAATAAATACAATACGTATAAAAACTACTAATAGTACGTACGATAGTACTGAAACAGTACGACAGTAATTAGCCTTAGGTAAAGTGTACGTCAATAATGCGGCGTGCTATTAGGAAAACGGGTTTTCTCGAGCCCGGATATAATAATAAACACATTAAATTGTGTAGCTAGCTTATCAAGACTGCATTGGGTTAGTTCATTTATTATGCACCCCATATCCATCCTTTGGGCGGTTGTGGAAAGGTTACAGAGACAATGGGCTCGGGGACTGAACCACCAAATTAATTTAGGTAAGCAAGTTTCAGTCTTGTTAAGCTACTTACACGGTTTAATTTATATTAACATTATATTAACAATGGGTCAAATACACTCAGGGCAAATATAGTTATTCTTAATGAGTGCATTTGCTATCCGACAAACTCTCCAGCAAGTGCATGGAAATCCGAGTTATATTCTCGATTGCAATTTATATTATTGCTGTAATCTTATAAAATCTTATTTATAATATAATATTTTTAATTATTATTGTATAAAAAGAGGAAATTACATTTTAATAAGTTCTATTAAATTAAATTGAAATATTTATTTCAGTGATTTCTGACCCGGAATTAACAGGCGCGAGCCAGCCAGCCTGATCACAACAAGGGTCGAGACCACACGTGTCAGGCTCTACAATGGGTAAAAAAAGCAAAGTTGGAAAACAGCGGAAGGATGCCTTTTACCACAAGGCAAAGATTGCGGGTAGGTGTCTTATATAGTGGTGGGTGTCTTTGTTAATGACTGAGAGTTAGGCCATGCCAACTTCCCCCCCTATAGGGAGAATCTTCCCTAATCTGGAACGGCAGTATGGTGGATGTTGTTATAGATTCAGCTACTCTGAACAAGTTCCAAGTAGCACGGGCTATGGTGAGCCCGTAGTGGACTTACCTGGCACAGGAGCGGGGCAAGTAGCACGGGCTATGGTGAGCCCGTAATGGACTTACCTGGCACAGGAGCGGGGCTGATCCTACTAGTAGTATGATGGAGTTGGGATAACATTTTATAGCCAAGGCTGTTCACCAAGAGGTTTTGAAACCTATCAAACCTTTACCAACGTAAGCATTACATACCAATACAACTAAAGTTTACACGAACTTAGTAAAAAAAAAAAACCTATGTACGATTCGATACTACCCCATTGAGACGAGTCGCCCCACATGTTGATGATCTTACTTCTCTAGGTTAGATGTGTTAGGTTAAACTAGTCTTTGGTTGTGTTACGGCAAAGATAATATTAAGTACAGTAGTAATGAAAAACATTTACAGATACTCTGAGAATACAAAATATTGTTACAGTAGTGTATCTTGATATCTTCCGGTACCATCGCACTTCTATCTGAAAATACCCAAGTCGAGCCTAATTAGAATTGTTAGGTAGAAATATAGAATGGGGCAATCCTTGATATATCTTAGCCCGAACCTAACCCATGATGTGTGTCACATTGTGTAATGTGGTTGTACAAAATGGTTGCTGTATATATAAAATATATGAAGTGTTTGATAATAATTCAGAGATGAAATGATCAGTGCAAAATGCATGTCTGTGTGTTTGGTAGACCTGTGATCTCTCTAGATCCTGTGATTTGTGATTTAGTAGACCTGTATTCCATATATTTTTTGTTAGCATTCATGGAGTTATCACAATAATTCTATACCTACGTCAGAGTCAATCTCATTTACTTTAGTACTACTACTGGTATTATCAGCTTGAACTATGGCTGTTATTTTCATCAATCAGTTGCTTAATAAATACAATGATTCTTAAATACAAAATATCCTAATTATGTGTACATGAGAGTGTATGACTTATGGTACCAAGAAGGTACCTAAGATAGTTCAGAATGGAAACCAATCTTTACACTGTCACAGGATTGCTGGGTTATGTATTCATTAAGACTTTGAGACTATGGTTTTGCACTGCGTATGATCCCTAACCACTACCTTCAGTAAAAACATATTAGTCTTAGGTTAGTGCATCTTAAAACTTGGGTAATTTTGGAATGCTTAGGTATGAGGCTTCTTTAACATCACACTGACTACGCAACTCAGAAATATCCTTATGCTCTTTTCAGCTGACAGCAAGTTTAGTCTGTGTTCAAAGTGTTACCTGTAGTAAGTTTTTTTTTTTGTGGGGGAGGGGGTGATTTCTTTATACATCTATTTTATTTTAGGTATACATTCCTGCACCTTGTATACATAACAGTGCTTTTATGTTACTGCATTTGTCTATTCATTTATCTTGGTACTTGTACTGTAAATGCTTGCTGAGGCAGTTATAGTTCTTTTCCCATTGTGTTGTTGTTCGATGCATGGAAGTGACACATGCATATTTGTTACGACCAGGTCAGCATTGAATTTTCATAGGTGTTTCAGTCTCTTTAAGAAATATATTACAGTATTTGATACAGGTTGTGCATACTACTCTCTCAAGGAGTTCTCAAAAGGACATAATTCAAAAGAGATATTGCTGAATAGCGTGTTAAAAGATACTGTAGTTGTATGCAAAATGTATTTTTAACCTATTAACATTACCCTAGTTTAATACTTGAAAATATTTCATGTTACAGTATTAAAAATATTTCCTGTTATATTTGTGGATGTAATTTATAATTTCAGGTTTCCGTGCCCGATCTGCCTATAAATTGATCCAGCTAAATACCAAGTATGAGTTCCTACAAAAATCTCGCGTCTGCATTGATTTGTGTGCAGCTCCGGGGTCATGGATGCAGGTTGCCAAGAAGTACATGCCTTTATCCTCAATCATTGTTGGTGTTGATTTGTTTCCTATCAAGCCCATACCTGGGACACTCTCTATAGTGGGAGACATAACTACAGAAAAAGTGAGGCAGGAGTTGAAGTCAACTTTGAAGACATGGAAGGCTGATTTAGTTCTTCATGATGGTGCTCCAAATGTTGGTGAGTATTTTTAATGTTAGTGACATTTTTCAGGATTCTATTATACAGAAGTACAATGGACTACATCTTTAGCTCACAATCACGGACCCCAGTTCAAGCCCTGGGAAGGGCATAAATGGCTGGGCTTTCCTTTCACCTGATGCTGCTGTTTACCTAGCAGTAAATTAGGTATACCTGGCAGTTAGGCAACTCTTGTGGGGTAGCATCCTGGGGAAGAGTTGGTAGTTGGCCTAGGGGAGACCTTGATAAGCCAAAGTGCAGGCTTCCTGTCCCTGCTAACAGCAATTCAGTTATAAGATTCCAAACAAAATACTGCAGTATGTAGATTACTTAAGTACAAAATGTCTAGGAACTCATCCCCTGGTGTAAAAAAGTGATTTTGGAGATTAGTGTAAAGTAGTGATTTAATTTCCGGGATTAACTTGCATGTGAAATTTAAGAGTCAACTTATAATTATTGTGATGAATTTGAGTTCTGCTAAGAGAGAGGTTTTATTTACCTTCCTGCTGTATTAACAAATATAGTGATATTTATGGTACAAATTGCAAGTTATAAATTATGAAAGGAATTATTATGCAAACTGGAAAGAATTTTAAATGTGTATTTATTTATATTTACTCTTGACAGGTCAGAACTGGTTATATGATGCTTACCAACAGAACTTGCTGGTGCTTCACTCATTTAAGTTGGCGTGTGAATTTCTGCAAAAAGGTGGTTGTTTTGTAACGAAGGTCTTCCGTTCCAAGGACTACTTTAACCTTGAGTATGTCTTTCGGAAACTCTTCAAGAAGGTAGGCTAAATGAGAATTTGTTAAGTGAGCCATGATGCCAAGGTATATTGTAAAAGGTTTCTTGTATTCTATTATACACATCTATATATTAATCTCATTCCTAATGGCCCAAGTGGTGGGGCACCATTACTTCACACTGTCCTCATACCCCAAATAAGTTTAAGTCTTTTAAGTTTTCATCTTCCATTCTCATAGAGAACTTTCTTCATAAGGGTATTGGAGGGTTTAGTACAGTACTGTACTGTCAAAGCTCGGTGCCTGCCTTCTCGTTTATTGTTGCAGAGGCTGAGGCTTTTCCCAAGATGCTTGCGTCTGTCCTGTGAGCTGTGGTGGCAGACTATAACTTGAGGTTACTTAACCCTAAAAGTAGGGCTATCATCATAGTTCTTACCCTAACTGCAATGAAAATATCAATTCTTTTACTTATTTTTCCTTGTCAAATGTTTTTCCTTACCTGTACAGTATTCTAAAGTACAGAAAATGCAAAAGAGAAAAAAAATCATATATCTACTCCTGTAGGGTATTCAACATTCTTCTGGAATTTGTCAGTACAATATTACGCTGTGGAGGGAGCCAAGACCAAACAAGAATTATTTTTCACATAAAATATATTCAGAAGTAAGGCATCTGTGTGCGAAATAAAGACAAGTCCAAAATATGTATGCTGTCAAGATTGTTATGTTGCCCTTGGTATGTGCAGTTACCGTCATTTGTTGATGGATCAGGAACCGAAATTCATCTGACTCAAGATTATTTTGTGGCATCTTGTGGCTGCCAGGAGACACCATTGAGCTATTGGAACTATATTGGCAATACAATACAGTATTGATTTTTCAAACATTGATGCAAAATGTAGGTCTTTATTTGATGATGATCACATTGCACTATATGATCAACTCACAGTGATGACTACACTGTTGTAAGAGTTATGGGGACTGAGAACATGAATGTGAATTATAGTAAGGTTTCTGAATGTTATAAGCTTTAGTTTTTCCATACTTTATTTAAGATCTGTTTTAATTTATTTTCAGGTGGAAGCCACTAAACCACAAGCTTCTCGTTATGAATCGGCAGAAATCTTTGTGGTGTGTCATGGCTACCTTAACCCATCCAAGATTGACCCGGAGTTCTTCTCGGCAAAACATGTGTTCCAAGAACTTAATCCAGAGCCTAATACTAAACTTAACCTTTTAAAACCAGAAAAGGTAGGTATTATATGTTTTCAGGCATTGTTCGTGCTGGTTTTTTATTTTATATATTGCATTTACCCCAAAAAAATCTTTTGATATTCTCAAATGCATTCCTCATAGTTTTTACTATGTTATTATGAATTGATTAGTAATTTGAAGTATCCTTGCAGTATCTGGAGAACACCTTGTGCATAGGCTTGAAATCTTTCAAGGCTTAAAACTCTCAAGTCTTATGTCTTGTGGTAGAAAGGAAGATCCCCTATCGTCATTGGACTATGGCAGATAATGGAACCATTTAAAAATCATTGGGGAGGAGGGGCTTTTAATGATTTTATGGAAACTAATAACTGTAGCTTGTCCAAATATATCTACACTCATCGTGATGGAAGGGAATAATCCCAGTTGTCATGCTAGGTAATAATAACCTGGGAAGTTTTGCAATCGATGAATGTCATTTCTTATAGTTTTAGAATTGTATTAGATGTTTGATTTATATTTGGAATTTGCATGTCTTAGAACGATACCATTAACTGTGTAAATTTACATCGTCATAACTCCCAAAGTTTTAAATTTGCTAACTTTTCCTAATTGCTTTATTTGTGTTTTCTCTCTGATTGTTACCTCAGAATCTTTCTTAACAAGTTGCTTTTAAATTGTTTTTAGCTTTGCTTAATGTTGTGTAATTAGGCAAATACATTTTTAAACTTTCAATCTAGTTTATGATAGATTTTTTACATCAAAGAATTGCAAAAAGAATAAATTTCAAAGAGAAATTAGAATTAGATGCACTCGATGACTGCACAAAGCTGACAGGGTGGACTAGCTGACCACATGACGATCCTGTACCTGATGGTGGTTGACTAATGTGGAAAATGCTGGCGAATATGGAAGAATTTTTTGTCATCAAAACGTGACGCAGATCAAATCTGATAAATAGAGATACATTCCGTTGTACATTATTTCCCACTAGTCACAAGGTGGCAAAGGTCTTGAGGTTATCTTGAGATGGTTTCGGGGCTTTAGTGTCCCCGCGGCCCGGTCCTCGACCAGGCCTCCACCCCCAGGAAGCAGCCCGTGACAGCTGACTAACACCCAGGTACCTATTTTACTGCTAGGTAATGGGCATAGGGTGAAAGAAACTCTGCCCATTGTTTCTTGCCGGCGCCCGTGATCGAACCCGGGACCACAGGATCACAAGTCCAGTGTGCTGTCCGCTCGGCTGACCGGCTCCCTCTCTCTTGTACAGTCTTTCTTGTACAGTATTGTAATTGGTTCCTCACAGACACACTGATTTCACAATGTCTAATTGGAATTTTATTATGGATAGTGAAAGTTACTCTTCAGTAATGTGAAATGTAATTATTTCTATTATAATTACAGTAATAATTAATTTCTATTGCAGACTCGTCGGAAACCAGAGGGATATGCTGAAGGAGCAACTACGCTCTACAACCGAGTTCCCGTATCCAAGTTTATTCATTCAGGAAACTTTGTTGAGGTTCTGCAGGAAGCTTCAGAGGTAACACACTCACTTTTGTTAGTGAAATTAGAGTAGCAAATGAAAATCTGAAAGTATATTTATCTTTTAGTGTCATACTTTCACTTGTCATGGAATTGCTGTAGTTCTTTATTGGTTGTGGCCAAAACAACAATCTGATGCATATATATATATATATATATATATATATATATATATATATATATATATATATGCATATATATATATATATATATATATATATATATATATATATATATATATATATATATATATATATATATATATATATATATATATATATATATATATTTAACTGTTATCCATACTGCTATCTCAGGTAACATGTGTAATGACTGTTAACCAGCTAATCAAACCAAGTCTTATACTGTGGTAGTTCAGACTTTTGTACTTCCCATTTGACTTAATTAATCATTAAAGGTATCTGTATTTCCTATGTTATAACTATTTTCAGTTTGACTTCGATGACGAAACAATCAGAAATCACCGGCTAACCACAGAGGTCATAGTGGAGAACTGTAAGGACATTAAGGTATTGGGGAGAAAGGATTTGCGGCAACTGTTGACCTGGAGAAAAAACCTGAAGGTGAGAAATAAGAACGCAATTGTGCCGGCATCAAATTATTGTTGTTTACCTTTATTTTGTAAAGAGCTTATTTTAAGATGATATTGCTCTGAAAATGGAAAAGTTTCAGGCTTAACAAGAATAGAGTAAACAATTATTTATGCTATGTGCTATATTATTAATGAGATTAGTGGTTTCTAGTGTGGAGTTTTCTTATCCGAGTTTATATCATGTCGACCCATTTGATCTTTTCGATAAAGTATTGCATGTTAATATGATTTTTCATGTTATTAGAGATCTGGGCGTCTGTCTACCTGTTGGAGATCCATCTTGAACAAATTTTACACAATAGAAAGTAATCGTAAATATAGCATTTAGTTACCGTACATTTTCTTTGTGTCGACTATCAATTGCATCATTGTTTTAAATATGCATTATGTTAGGAATGGTGTTCACTATTTTTTTGTGATTGTAAATTATGACACAGTATCTGTAAATAAATATTTATTATCAGTTTATTCATACTGACCCACTATGCAGCACAGTTTGTACACACTGATCCACTATGCAACACAGATTGTACACACTGATCCACTATGCAACACAGATTGTACACACTGATCCACTATGCAGCACAGTTTGTACACACCGATCCACTATGCAGCACAGTTTGTACACACTGATCCACTATGCAGAACAGTTTGTACACACTGATCCACTATGCAGCACAGTTTGTACACACTGATCCACTATGCAGCACAGTTTGTACACACTGACCCACTATGCAGCACAGTTTGTACACACTGATCCACTATGCAACACAGTTTGTACACTGATCCACTATGCAGCAGAGTTTGTACACACTGATCCACTATGCAGCACAGTTTGTACACACTGACCCACTATGCAGCACAGTTTGTACACACTGATCCACTATGCAACACAGTTTGTACACACTGATCCACTATGCAACACAGTTTGTACACATTGATCCACTATGCAGCACAGTTTGTACACACTGATCCACTGCAGCACAGTTTGTACACACTGACCCACTATGCAGCACAGTTTGTACACACTGACCCACTATGCAGCACAGTTTGTACACACTGACCCACTATGCAGCACAGTTTGTACACACTGATCAACTATGCAGCACAGTTTGTACACACTGATCCACTATGCAGCACAGTTTGTACACACTGACCCACTATGCAGCACAGTTTGTACGCACTGACCCACTATGCAGCACAGTTTGTACACACTGATCAACTATGCAGCACAGTTTGTACACACTGATCCACTATGCAGCACAGTTTGTACACCCAGATCCACTATGCAGCACAATTAGTCTGATATCGTGTAACACCTTTTGTCTAGGCTGATCTAGAGAAAATAGCAGAAGAGAAGAAGGAGACGCCAGCTGAAGAAAAAACAACAACGAACGAGGAAGATCAAGAGACAAATGAAGAAGTCGAGATGAACAAACTACAACAACAAATTTTGGATTTGAAGGTAAGACTTGAAGGTGGCCAAGTTATCGGTTTTAAGTTAACTGTGCAAAAGATTCAGTCCGAAATCTGGATGTCAAGCATTATAACTAGATTAATGAACAATAAACATTCGGTTAGATAATTTTGCGTAAAAAAGAGACATGGTGATACAGTATGGATATATCTTAGGGAATATAGGTTAGAAAGAAGATATAGTTAACAGTTTTTTCATTAAATCAATTTTTTGGATATATTATTCATTTATTTATTAGCTATTCTAAATATCTTGCCATAAAGAAGATATAAATACTGTATTTTGCACAAACCTGGTATATGTGCTGTAATCCACTGGATGAAAATCTCATTAAATAAAAGTTGATGATAAATTTCATCACACAGATACTATGTTGAAGTCATATGTACATTTCATTGATGTGAAATTTACAGCTAATAAAATACTCAAATATAGCAGTATCATTCCATATTAACTGTTGTTTATTGCCTTAAAATACAAAACTACTCGGTATTGGTCAAACTATGAAAGTGAAATTAATGTTTATTTATCAAGGTCATTTTCCTAAGTATATTGTTAAGTTTTAATTCATGCTAACTACATGTTTATACTGTACTCATAGAATAGATAATAATTGTTAAGAAATTCATTGTCTTAAAAAGAATTGTAAAAGAGCAGCATTAGTGCAACTTGCTTCAATTAATCGTCAACACACTGAGTTCCAATTACATAATCTGTCATGTAGAAAGGAATTAGCAGGCACAACACACTTGTTTTTCCCAATTATGTACTGTTCTGGTAAGTTTATGTACCACCTTTTCTTTTTCGCCCAAATCAACAGACAGAACAAGCCAGAGAAGATAAGCGAGCAAGGAAGCGCAAGTTGAAAGAAAAGAAGAAGCTTGAGGAGCAGCTACGCTTGAAAGCCCTTATACCCGGAGACCCCGGCCCAACGGAGAATGCAGAGGCTGGCCTGTTCAACCTTCAAAAACTGTCTCAGGCAAGATGTGAATCGCATTTGAAGTTTAATGCCTAAATTTCATTGTAAATATATTATACACAGTAGTCACCTTATTTAACATTATATTTCAAACAAATTATATAATGTATGGTACCATATAATATTAGATTTTTCATATGTTAATGCTCAAACTTGTGTTCAAATATGTATTTGCAAGTATATAATTCTGTTGTTGAAAATTTATATGCAACACTGGTGGAAAGAATCCATTCTATGGGCTCCATACACTGTGTACATTATCAACCCTTTGCAAAATGTTTGGTGTGGAATAACAATTATATTTTTATTGAACATAAATGGAGTTGGAAGAAGGTTGTTAAATGTTGTGAAGAAGTTTTATGCAGGAAGTATGGCATGTGTGAGGGTTAGGGGCACAATGAATTACTGATTTGATGTTACCATATTTATATATTTCCATTGGAGACTTTTGGCACCGTTGAGGGGGGGGGGGACCTGCTGCTTGGGTGACAGCTTCTTTCCTGTATCAACCTACCCTGGCTTTGCGCCCTAGAGAGGCCATTCCAGACCGACAACCAGAGCGCAACTCCATAGTCTCTTGAGATTGTTGGATGCTTATTACTATTAATATAGGAGTATGCCAGGGTTGTGAGAGACACAAATAGGCTTCCAATGTACTGTATATGTGAATGAGGGCCATGATGAAAATAAAGGTACAAAAGAAAAATGGGAAAATTAATCGACTTATCCTCCAAATAGGATAATATACAGTTGGATTGGAATGTACAAAATAGTGACTATTACGCCTAAATTTGTTACTACAATAATAATTGTTCTTACCCTGTAACTAGTGCCAAAAACATAAAAAAAATATGTATAAACACAGAAGAGTCAACGAGTGTATAGTGGTACCTCGGAATGCGATTGTCCCTGTATGCGAGGTTTTCGGAAGGCGAGCAGTATTTACTCCAAAAATTTGTCTCAGAAGGCGAGGGTTACTTCGGGACGCGAGTTTGTTGATACGCGTACAGGCCGACCTAGCGCGTGGTGGTTCGGCGATCGTCGCCCCTCCGCCCCGCCGCCCCTCAGTTTAACATTGTCTCGCGCTCAGTGACTACCCCCACATCAATTCTTCTCGCGGATTTTCAGTGTTTTGTTGGATTTTTGGTGATTTGTCTATACAATTTGTTATTATATATCTCACCATGGGTCCCAAGAAAGCCAGTGGTAAGGATAAAGGCCAGAAAGCTCATGTGAGGATGACAATAGAGGAGAAACAAGAGATCATTCGGAAGCATGAGAACGGTACACGTGTTGTTGAACTTTGTAGGCAGTACAACAAAGCCACATCAACAATATGCACTATACTTAAGAAGAAAAATAAGATTATGGGTGCTAAAGTGGCAAAAGGAGTAAGAACATTAACGGCACAAAGACCACAAATACTTGAAGTGGAAAAGTTGTTATTAATTTGGATACACGACAAGGAGTTGAGGGGTGATAGTGTTTCGGAGGCCATTATTTGTGAGAAAGCCAGGGTGTTGCACGAAGACCTTCTAAAGAATACCCCTGCAACGAGTGATGCAGATAAGAAAGAGTTTAAGGCAAGCAGGGGCTGGTTTGAAAAATTTAGAAAGAGAAGTGGTATCCATAGTGTTACAAGGCATGGGGTTATGTGATGTGATTATGGAAGGGGACTCCCCTTCCAAACAGTAACTCCTCTCCTCCTCCCCCCTCACCATCTTCCATACGCCTACAGCACTCGACAGCAAGGTAAGTAATAACTGGAACACAGTTTTGTAGGTTTATTTAGATGAATTAGGTAAATTAGGTATAAAAATTTAGTTTGATGTGGGGTTTTTGGGGTAGTCAGGAACGGATTAATTCATTTCCCTTTATTTCTTATGGGGAAATTAACTTCGGAATGCGAGTTTTCGGAAGGCGAGGCGTCTCCAGGAACGGATTAAACTCTTATTCTGAGGTATGCCTGTATTTGAGGGAATTTAGCAATAAGATGAGTACAGAAAGCCAGAAAGATGAGTGTGAGGAAGGATATATCTGTATTTCCATGTTTCAGTTAAAAGGCGCCATCGTTATTTTTTATTTTTCATTTTCTTCCTTCGTCTTCTCATCCTCCACTGCCATTTACACTGACATCCTAAGAACATGTTTCAAATACGTACCTTTCTGTACGATAAAAAAATTACTCATGTGATGGTTTTACACTGTAGGTGCAGAATATTGATAGTGTGGTGGACCAGGAGGGAGATATGGTGCTCTCTGGCAGCGAGAGTGAGGCAGAGGAAGAAGGTCCAAAGTACATGAAATATAGTCGAGAAGAAGGACGCCTCGACAACACAGGAAGGTTAGTTTGTAAATCATAATTAAATGTTAAATATTCAATATTTAAATGGACTATTTTATAAGGTTCTACAAAAAATTAAACTTGAAAGATTATACAGGTAATGAATGCTTGGATTTACATTGCTATATTTTATTGCTATCTTCTGTGTGATTTATAAGTTAAGATATTAAAAGGCTCAATGAAGCAACTGCTGACTTCAAAGAGAGTTTGCATGCACTGCTAGCCATGTGCATTTTTTCAAGCAAGGCCCAATCAGTTACTTCCTGAACAATTAACAAGGGTTCATTCAAGACTGCTCAGACAACAATATCTTAACAAATATTTTAACTTTTGGACACTTTTTGACGCTCATCACCACAAAATTCTTTATATCTTTCCAGTGTTGTGACGTCAATTTTCGTGTTACGTCTTTTATTTTGGTATCAAATTGTGCACAATCTAAAGGCGCTCATTTTGAAACCACTCCCAGATTGATCAGATAAAATTTAAATTTTTAACAAATATTTTAATGGATGACTCTGGATGTCGTCATCCGAGACAGCACAGGAGAAAAACGGATGCCGCTAATAGGCATCATCGGAGTGCGAAAGTGTTAAGACACCCAGCCCCTCACATTGGAAAAGAAAGGATTGGTCTGATTGGTAGACTTACTCTCTGCCACTCTCTTGTTGACCTTTGTCCACTGTAACCAGGAACTTTGCAAGTGATCTTGCAACTTAATTGGGGAGGAAAAACCGTGGAGAGTATAGTGAACCCACCATTGAAAGAGACTTAATGCTACACCATGAGCAGAACAAACTTCTCAATACTACTGCCAGACCTAATTACATACATAGGAAAAATGTTCATAAAATTGTAAGTAACTTTTCAGTTGCAGATGTTTACTTGAGGTCTCAGATATTGATTGAGAACACTGTGCACCAACAGGAGTTTTAACTGTTGCAAAATACCTAAAATGCTCTCAGGGTGGCATGCACATTTCAAGGGTCAAGTAGCAAATGTATTTCCCCTGTTCTTTATTTATAATTACATAGGATAATGTAAGATACTGAATTGACAGGATGTTTTTACAGGATTAAAAAATGTATACCACATTGGGCTAGCATTCTAGTACATGGCATGTACAAATCAGAATTTTTTTTAATTCTCCAGTTGCTTGGCCCCATCCAGTTCAGTTGGAAAACGTTAATTGCCATGGAATGTATTGTAATCTATTTTTCTCATCAAGGTGTGAACAAAAATCTTTCTGGTGTGCTGGTATGTGAGGTGTCATGAAACATATAATTATGTAAAACTGGAAAGGTGATTGACTTTCAGACTGGGTTGTGGTATGCTATTCAATCAAAGCAATCTACAGAATTCTGTAAAACAGTTTAAGGCTAAAGAATTGCTGCTTTATAATATAAAAGTGATTTTTAAATGCGGATTATTACATACATTTCGGTGCACAATAAAATCATGCAAATGTGATGTATCTTTGAGTAAGTATCAAGGCCAATACCTGAGTGTAGGTGGGTAGCTCTCATAAAACATCACTCCTAACACCTGCATATGGGCAGATATTTCGTAAAAATTTGGATTATGGTACAGTACTGGATGGTGGTTACCTACCTTGAGGTGCTTCGGAGGCTTAGCGTCCCCGCGGCCCGGTCGTCGACCAGGCCTCCTGGTTGCTGGACTGGTCAACCAGGCAAACCAGGTGCCTTTCAAACTTTATTCAACTCTGTTGTAGTTCTGATTGAGATACTTTTGAGCCCGGTTGTGGTTCAGTCGGCAGTATATGTGCCTGAGGAGTTCAGGGATGCAAGTTTGATCCCATTGTTCAGCCTCAATATTTTTTGGTACACATTAATATACTGTAATACTGTTATTAGTATGTATAACTTGAGTCAATTTTTTTCTTTCAGATTTTACATGGGTAAAGGTGACAAAGAAATAGGTGACGACGAAGAGGAGGAGGAGAGTGATGATGAAGAAGAGGGATTAGGCATCAAGAGCAAGACCTCACTTGACCACGTGGGGAGTGATGACGAGGATGGCGACGCTGTAAATCCGCTATTGACTGACCTTGTTGGAGATAAACGAGAAAATAGAAGAGCTAGAAAGGCGGAAAACTGGTTTAGTCAGGTGAGGTGTGGTTATTCTGTCTGACATTCAGAATTTTCTTTGTTACCAGTATAGTTTGAGATTTTCTTAAGACCTGTAATCAGTTTCATTTAATAGTAATTTTATGCATTAATTTGTACTCATTATTTATTGATGAGCTTTCAGCTAGTTTATCTACCTAATTAATACTGTTTCCCAGCCTTCATACTTGGGATATTAGTGTCACTATTTGTATACACAACCGTCGAGTCATAATTTATATGTGGTCAGTATTGTTCACAATTATCACGGTAAAAGATTTTATTTTATAGCATCTTAAGGATGTAAATAGTACCAGGTTCTTGAGCGTTTTGGTTATACAAGCATACACTTCATACAGTTTTGATCTATTATTATATACAATATGCTACATACAGTGTAGGTCTAATATTATATTCAGTTTGCTATGTATAATGTTGCTCTATTATTATATACAATACTGTACATTATGTATTTGGTTACATTTATTAAACGTTTACAAGCATAAAAACTTCCCAATCAACTGTTGTTATTGTTATATACGGCCTCCTGGTGCGTCAGAGCTCTAACTGTATGATAATTGTAAACATAGCCGCCAAAGATTGAAAAAAGATGTACAGGTTTGTAAGTAATTGCATAACTGCTTCGTGAATCTGGCCCCAGCTTTGTGAGCGTTCTTGATGCCAAAGTGCTGCGTTACAAAGCTTCTACGTTATATAGATAACTAGTATTTTCTGTGCCGAAGTAAGACCAGCTCTGTTAGAAATCACATTTTCATAGCAAATTTGTTGACTTTATATTTATATACAGTATATTTAATTATATTAGCCATGATACCTATTGCTGTGAGCATTATCATCTTATTTAATTATTACTTATTTGTAGTACAGTATATGTAGATACTGTACTTCTCTGGTAGTATTCCTATAAAGTAATACAGGCATACTCTTACTTGTTTACAAGGGAGGGATGCAGACATATAAAAAAAATTGTATTTCCCTTATAGAAAAGGGGAAACGGTCATATGTATTGAACATGTTTACAAGGCTACACATATATTGTACATGTTTACAAGAGGATATAGACATACATTGTATATGTTTACAGGATGTCTTCAAGGACCTAGAGACAGAGGCAGATGAAGACTATGAGCTGGACTCGGCCATTCGGAAGTATAAGGAAAGTGGTGGAACTGTATTGGGAAAACAATCCAAGAAACCTGTAAAGAAGGAACCTGAGGTAACTTTTTGTTGTTTTGAGCAAGACGTAAATGTTGGATGTGGTGAATGTTTTAGTTTTTTGTGGTTGAGGGTAGGGGGGAGGGATATTTAATGTGTTATGTATATATATGTAAGAAATTTTTTAGAAATTGAGAACTAAAAATGGTTTGACATAAGAATTGTTAGAATAAAAGTGAGAGAGACTTAGAGGAATAAAGAGGGACTAGAAAAGTTAATGCACGAAACAGTAGTAGTAGGAATTATTTATTTCTTGTGGTGCAGCCACTGTGTGGATTTCAAGATCTGGTTGGTTTGTGTTGTCTTGATGTTGGTGAGCTTGTCCAAAGGAAGATATTATAAGATAAACTGGGCATTTTTGTTTCACTTGTCTGTGTTTTCAACAAAGATATACTGTATTGATATGTATTTTAAACACAAATATACTTGGTAGTATAACAAAATATAAAAAAAGTGTAAAAAAAAACTAATTCACTATGCACTGTGCATTGGAAACTTAGAAAGATGTTTATTAAAGGGACGACGATGTTTCGGTCCGTCCTGGACCATTCTCAAGTCGATTCGACTTGAGAATGGTCCAGGACGGACCGAAACGTCGTCGTCCCTTCAATTTCTAGTGTGTGGTCTGGTCAACATACTTCAGCCACGTTATTGTGACTCATTGCCTGCATGTTTATTAAAATATGTATGTGGCAACTGGAAGAAAATGTGATGATTGTGTAGAGACGTTAGATGATGGTAGAAAAGTTATTGTGCTATGGAATATGAATGTTTGTAGTGTTCATTAATGTGGTGCTCTCTGTGGTGGTGTACTTAGGCACCATAGAGGCTTACTATACATTTTAGAATGACAACATACCTACTTCAAATTATAATTTTTAGATAACTAATTTCAGGAACACTTCATCTATTTTTGTCAATTTCTTAGGGTACTTCTCTTGATGATTTTGCTGGAGTTAGGGTACTTCTCTTGATGATTTTGCTGGAGTTAGGGTACTTCTCTTGATGATTTTGCTGGAGTTAGGGTACTTCTCTTGATGATTTTGCTGGAGTTAGGGTACTTCTCTTGATGATTTTGCTGGAGTTAGGGTACTTCTCTTGATGATTTTGCTGGAGTTAGGGTACTTCTCTTGATGATTTTGCTGGAGTTAGGGTACTTCTCTTGATGATTTTGCTGGAGTTAGGGTACTTGATGATTTTGCTGGAGTTAGGGTACTTGATGATTTTGCTGGAGTTAGGGTACTTCTCTTGATGATTTTGCTGGAGTTAGGGTACTTCTCTTGATGATTTTGCTGGAGTTAGGGTACTTCTCTTGATGATTTTGCTGGAGTTAGGGTACTTCTCTTGATGATTTTGCTGGAGTTAGGGTACTTCTCTTGATGATTTTGCTGGAGTTAGGGTACTTCTCTTGATGATTTTGCTGGAGTTAGGGTACTTCTCTTGATGATTTTGCTGGAGTGATGCTGCTGGTTTTACATAATACTGGTTCACTGGGAAAATGAACACTAATATATGGAGATTTTATCAGCTCAAATATTTTAAGTACCAATTGGTGCACTTGTTGCTTCAAGTCTAAATGACAATACTCGTACATTGGCATTTTGTACCGAGATAAAGTAGGTATATACTACACTTGCCTAGTTGTGCTTGTGGGGGATGAGCTCTGGCTCTTTAGACCCACCTTTCAACTGTCAACTGGTGTACAGATTCCTGAGCCTACTGGGCTCTATCATATCTACATTTGAAACTGTGTATGGAGTCAGCCTCCACTACATCACTGCCTAATGCATTCCACCTGTTAACTACTCTGATACTGAAAAAGTTCTTTCTAACGTCCCTGCGGCTCACTTTGTACTCAGGTCTTCACCTGTCTCTCCTTGTTCATGTACCACCCGTGTTAAATAGTTTATCTACCGATTGATTGATTGATGAAGATTAAGCCACCCAAAAGGTGGCACGGGCACGAATAGCCTGTAAGTGGTGGCCCTTTTGAGCCATCTGTGGAGGTGCGACTGCACCCTGAATAACGGGAGATGTCTTCCCCGTAGGGTTTATCTACCCTGTCAATTCCTCTTGAGAATTTTGTGGGTAGTGATCATGTCTTCCCTAACTCGTCTCTTCCAGTGTCGTGAGGTTTAGTTCCAGTAATCTTTCCTCGTAGCTCATTCCTCTCAGCACAGGGACTAACCTGGTGGCATACCTTTGAACCTTTTCTAACTTTTTGTGCTTGATTAGATGTGGACTCCACGCTGGAGCCACATATTCCAGTATTGGTCTGACATATGTGGTATACAAGGTTCTGAATGATTCCTTACACAAGTTTCTGAAGGCCGTTCTTATGTTTGCCAGCCTTGCATGTGCCTCTGATGTTTTCCTTTTGATGTGGGCTTCAGGGGACAGGTATATGCATGTGTGTGTGTGTGTACATTTTATTTTAACCATGGACATGTGCATTGGATGATAAGTGCATCATTTGGTCATGCAGCTGGATAACAATTCTGGAATGGAACATGATGTGGTTTAATTATTCCAAACACTGGGAGAATCTTTATTTTATAAATGGAACATGATGGCTGGAACATTACATATTATATTATTTATTCTCAAGATGATTGAGATATGATTGCATCTCATTCTTGCAGGGCAACGAATCAGGATACACCAGTGATCATTCAGACGTAGAAGAAGCACGAGATGCACCCGACTCCAATTCCGACTCAGATTCAGACACGGACTCGGAAGAAGAACCTGTAACAGCTGGCCCACAGATGATAGGACGAGCAGTTGGCAGTGGTAAGCATAGGACAGGAATATCTTTTCATCATTATAATAAAATTATGCACATTCACTTAGTCTGATACAAAAGCTACTGAGAGTGTAGGCAAGAGAGAGAGAGAGAGAGATGTCTTTACCTGGAGGAAAGTGCTGGAGGTAGTTTCAGACTTACATATAGTACTGAAATGATATACTGTTATCCTTACAAAGGCAGCAGGTTCGATAGAATTTGTAAAGTAGCTTCAGCTCTGGTGAAAATTAGGTTCAATAAGGACACCAACCCTTCAGGGTTTAATTTACATTAATTACAATTTTATATGAATGGAAAAATGTATTTTTATTGTGAATTAGTAAGAAGTGTTGATAGTTAACAAAAACTAAGCAAATGAGGAAATAAGTTGAAAAATAAAGAAAATAATTAACAAAGCAGTAAGCTCTAATGGAAAAAAGTTAGTAAGTATAGTAGAGAGACTAATGGAAGGTTAATAAGATTGTTAAATGCTAAAGAGAGTAGAAATAGGTAGGGGATAGAATTATCAGGGGAAAGTGCCAAGACATTATGACTAGCACTTGGAAGGGGTCAGAATAAGGATTTTGGGTGGGACGAAGGGAATGAATGGTGCCCATTTACTTGGACAGTCGGGGATTGAACACCGACCTGCATGAAGCGAGACAGTCGCTCTACCCTCCAGCCCAATAAGTGGAGAGAATATTTTAATGCCATATGGGTGCATGGAGCAAAGGAGGTGCATTTGTGTACATAATTGGATGTGTTGGCATGAGAAGAGTGCAATATAGTATACCAGGATAATATTTATGGAAGAGGTGAGGAAACTAAGAATTTACCAGACAGCATGGGATAGTGTCACTGTGCCAGATGATTGAAAGTGTTGTGATTTTACTATTATATAAAAAAGGTTAATTTAGTGATTGTAAGACTTATTGAGGCATTAGTTTATGAATCGTAGTGGACAGTGTGTATGGCAGGATAATGATTGGAAGAGTTTAGAAAATTACTTTGAAATTGACCTGTGATAAGGTGGATTCTGTGGTGTAAGAGTTGGTGTATGGTATGAACACAAAACATCAGGAATTAAAATAGTAGAAATGGGCACATGAGAACTTTTCTCATCTTTTGTCACAACTAATGAGACATAGACTAAGTTGGTTTAAGATTCCAGCTTGTCATTTTCCACCTCAAGGGAGTTAGATTCCGAGATTCGGGGGTTTTGTTCTAAGCTTTGGACTGTTTACTCCAATTACTTCACCATTTAAAGCCCTGCAGGTTTTTCAGAGAGTGAACACTTTTCTCTGTAGTGTTGCATCATGTCTTAACCTTACAGTGGCCTTTCTAGGCTGCTGCCTTGATAGCTTTCCTGGGCTGGTGCTCTAACATCCCCCCCGAGCACTATGACACGTTACACTTTGGACGATTTCTCTCACACAACTGAGGCAAACCTCCCTCTGTAACTTACAGAAACCCGACAAAAATCCAAATCCTCTGAAAGTTGTTTGGCAATAATGTGCCACCAAACAGCTAAATGGAACGATCAGAACACTGCCACCCAACTACCCTAGCTGCTGCCAGGTGCTGCCACTAGAAAGAAGGGAGCCACCTTATTTTGAACTCGATATATGTACAGTAGTGTGACCTAGTTTGTGTTGGAGATCAGTCTTCCTTACACCTTTAATAATCCATTGATTGGTATTGCCTATGTATTAGTGGCCCATATCTGTGTTACCATCCCATTTCAGGTCAGGAAATGGCTGGAAGTTTTGGGTGGAATGCTCTAATTACTTCTATGGTCTCTTTCCTTCGAGCTGAATCTAACATTTTGTATGTTGAACAGACTAGACGCACAGTTTTGGCTCTGCTCTGTCTCGCAGGCATTCTTGCCTGTCTTGAAAACTTGGTGTTGTCTGTTAGCTAGGGGGGCTTTGTGGTTTTGGAGCTGGGTCTCGAGGTTTCTTCTCAATTCTTGATTTCTTGATCAATTTCTTCTCAACGCTCCAGTGAGGGAGGCCTTTGCACTGGATACATTTTTCCTGGACTGGAATTAGACGACATTCATCTACATCGTCCCTTCATGTTTAGGTGCTCTTCTCTGTTTTGGGCAAGTTGGAGAGCTGTATTTGATGTTTTATATTTAAGTACACCTAACATTAGTGGACGAGTTTTGCATTATCCAAATTTTTTCGACTTTAGGGTTCGCACAACTCTCAGGTCTTAACATTTCTCTTCTGCTCTATAACATGGGTTTGATTGCATTTTGTATTTGGTTTCAATTTTAATTTCTTTATTTTTCTATAGTGTAGAAGGTGGAGATTTTCTTCAATGAACATCATATTATATCCTGTGACCTAGTGGAAGATTTCAACAACAGACAATATACATACTGTATCTAATGTATTTTTCTTGTATTTACAGGTATCACAAAAGGTAATAAGAGGAAAAAAGACCAGGCTGGATTAGATAATGTTGGTCTTGCACTAGCCACTCAAATGATCTACTCCAAAAAAGCCAAGAGAGATATCACGGATGCTGGTTGGAATAGGTACTGTATTGTATGCTGCTTAGCAACTGATATTTTAGGAATTATTGTGCATATTTTGTCCGTGAAACATAACCACTGCCTGCAGCTGCATATTAACATTATGGATTAATTATTGACTGCCTGTACTTCAGATATATGTTTGGTGATGGAGATGATCTCCCAAACTGGTTCGTGAATGATGAGAAGAAGTACAACACATTGAGGATAGAAGTAAATCCTGTAAGTGCTCCGTTTGACAAGTGGCTCATATATTACGTGTACTTTATTCCAGCGACTAAGGCTTTCTTTTCTCTATAAAGATCATTCACTCCTAGTCATCAGGTATGATGGATATCCAGACTTTTTTCCAACAATAATGAACAAGGATAAATGAATAGGCAACTTGGCTCATGCTGCTTTATGAAACTTTATGCAACAATTTAAGCATTGTTTCTTTACTACTACATCCTATGTGTACTCAGCATCACTCAGTCTCCTAGTCATTGCTTGCTTTGTGTTTCTCAGCCTGCAAGGTGAGTTAAAACTCTAGATTCTGATAAAACAAAGTACAGTATCCTCAACTTAGCTTGTGAATTACACTTCTTTTGACATATTTCTTAACCCATAAACTGCAAGTCTCATTAGATGTAGTGGGTGCTCTGGGCTTCATCCTGATCCTACTTACCTATGTAGATTAGCCTCCCATTCCTATTCTATCTGCCTCGGTCATCTCGGCATGTTCATATTTTTAAGAATATTTTCGTAGTGAGATATACTGGCCATAGGAGACTTATCCTCACTCAGTTACAGTTGAAATACATACAGAAGTTAACTCAGATTTTCAATTTAAATAACTGTTTCAGGAGGACTTGAACATGTATCGTGACCGTTCCAAGGATGTCAATGCCCAAACAATAAAAAAGGTGGTTGAAGCAAAAGCTCGTAAGCAACGGCGTGTAAAGAAGCGTATGGAAAGGGCCCGGAAAAAGGCAGAGAATGTGACAAATAATGCTGATATGTCAGAAAGAGAGAAAGCACAGGAAGTCAAGAAGTAAGTTATATTATTTGTCTTCACAGTTTCCCATCTTCCTATGTATAAAATTTTAAGATGTTCTTTTCTCTTCCATTTCTCTTTCCTTGTACTCTTCCTGTCACTACTTATGCGCTACATAGCATCGATTGTACTACACCCACTTACTACTGTTACACTGCTTCTTCAGCTCCTGCTCTACCTGTTGTTCTTCCTCATACTCTTATCTGCTTCCAATACTTGCTTTGCTACTGCTGTTTTTACTGCACTCCAGGTAACTCGTGCCTGAAACGCTGTGCGTATTAGTGACTTTAGGCATAGTACATACTTGCCCTACCTAGTAATCCAACATTCTTCTTGTATCCTATTTTGTATGTATGTACTTTCCCTAAATGATTATTATTATTATTATTATTATTATTATTATTATTGAGAAAAACCACAGGAGCCGTAAAGAGGATTCAAACCTATGCGCTGGGTATTCCCAGAGGCACGCTCTAAATGAATATTCCACTACATGGTCAAAAGAATTGCAACCTGGGGTACAACTGCACCCACTAAGATTCCGAAGGCTTCCACTTAAGCCAAACCAGGGTTTCACATAATTGTGTGAAACAACTACACCTAGTGGATGCAGTTGTACCCCTGGTTGCATTTTTTTTTACCATGTCGTGGTGTAGAGCATGCCTCTGGGAACACCCAGCGCATAAGTTCGAATTTTCTTCACGGCTCCTGTGAATTTTCTCATTGATATATCATGATAATAATACACAGAGAAATCACATTATTATTATTATTATTCACAGAGTAATGTGATTTCTCTGTGTATTATTATCATGATATATCAATGAGAAAATTCACAGGAGCCGTGATGAAGATTTGAACTTATGCGCTGGGTGTTCCCAGAGGCATGCTCTACACCACGACATGGTAAAAAAAAATGCAACCAGGGGTTTGCAACCTAGTGGATGCAACCTGCATCCACTAGGTGTAAGTGTTTCACACAATTATGTGAAACCCTGGTTTGGCTTAAGTGGAAGCCTTCGGAATCTTAGTGGGTGCAGTTGTACCCCAGGTTGCAATTCTTTTGACCATGTAGTGGAATATTCATTTAGAGCGTGCCTCTGGGAATACCCAGCGCATAGGTTTGAATCCTCTTTACGACTCCTGTGGTTTTTCTCAATAATAATAATAAAAATAATCATTTAGGGAAAGTACATATCACGTTACATACATCACGTTAGTGTGATTATATTCTGTGTATTGAAAGAGGAGCATCAGAAGTAGAACATTCCTAGATGACAGATCCAGAGTGCATGAGGGAATTGTGGAAAAATCCTGGTCTGGCTTCGGTGGAAGCCTCGGGAAGCCCTTGTGTGTTCAGTAGAATTCCAGGTTGTAATCTTTGACTATGTTGTGGCCTGAGCGTGGGAACACCCACCACATACATTCGAATCCTCATCACAGCTCCTGTGGATTTTCTCATTGATATATCACATTAAGTGTGATTACTCTGTGAATAATAATAATAATAATCACACTTAATGTGATATATCAATGAGAAAATCCACAGGAGCTGTGATGAGGATTCGAATGTATGTGGTGGGTGTTCCCACGCTCAGGCCACAACATAGTCATAAAGATTACAACCTGGAATTCTACTGAACACACAAGGGCTTCCCGAGGCTTCCACCGAAGCCAGACCAGGATTTTTCCACAATTCCCTCATGCACTCTGGATCTGTCATCTAGGAATGTTCTACTTCTGATGCTCCTCTTTCAATACACAGAATATAATCACACTAACGTGATGTATCAATGAGAAAATCCGTAGGAGCCGTGCTGAGGGTTCGAACCTATGCAGTGGGTAGTCCCACACACACTCCCCAGACAATCAGACCACACGGTCAAAAGGATTGCAACCTGGAGTTCTACTGAACACACGGGGGCTGAACACACACAACATAGCCCTCGTGTGTTCAGTAGCACTCCAGGTTGCAATCTTTTTGACCATGTCGTGGCCTGATTGCAGTGGGTAGTCCCATGCACACTCCCCAGACATAGGTTCGAACCCTCAGCACGGCTCCTATGGATTTTCTCATTGATACATCACGTTAGTGTGATTGTATTCTGTGTATTGAAAGAGGAGCATCAGAAGAAGAACATTCCTAGATGACAGATCCAGAGTGCATGAGCGAATTGTGGAAAAATCCTGGTCTGGCTTCGGTGGAAGCCTCGGGAAGCCCTTGTGTGTTCAGTAGAATTCCAGGTTGCAATCCTTATGATCATGTCATGGCCTGAGCATGAGAACACCCACCACATACATTCAAATCCTCATCAAGGTTCCTATGGATTATCTCAGTATTATACTGTTATTGCATCCCATTCTAAATGCAGCCTCCTTCCCTTAGTTTCTGCACTTATGAACATATATTCAGATACAGAAGCCATATACATTGATATAATTTATCATTTTCATCACTCTTAATAAACTGTATATCACACAGGTTATATAATAAGGCACTTACACCACTGAAGAAGAAAGACACTACTTATGTTGTGATGAAGAAGAGGCATGGAGGGCAGAAGCCCAAAGGCACCAAAGGTCCATATAAATTAGTTGACAAAAGGATGAAGAAAGATGCGAGAGCCATGAAGAAATCAGTTGCCAAGAAGAGCAAAGCAGGTAAAGGAATTTCAAAGCCCAAGCCAAAACCAAAACCCAAGACCAAAGGAACGAAAAGAGGAAAGAAATAGATGAATACTACAATATATTTGTGTAGGATATTCCTTGTTGTAGTCCCTATGTACTATTGCAATATTTGTTTCTTACTAATAGTTTTGTAAATGTCTGAAAATATTATAAGAATAATTACATCATAGATTGAATGTGATCTATGTTTGAAGCAACGACTAGACGAAAATTGCATAACATTTGTACTTTCTTTTAAAGTATGGAAAAGCCCTAAGTAAAGATGTTAATAAAAGTGGATCCCAATAATTATTGCTTCATTCTACCCTTATGTCATTTTTAAAATGTTTCTCGGTAACTCTATCGCAAGATAATTTTTGTTTCAGATGCGGGAAATCATGAAACTGAATTTACGGTGTTCGTTACACATAATAAAGCTCTCGAAACAAGCATGAATGCGCTCTGCTTGATGCGAAGAATTATTGTACTAGCGCTGTACAACAATACCACCACTTAGGCCATTATCTAGACTTCCAAACACCTTGCCCACGTCACTGCTAAATAACTCGTTTGTGCATATCCCAAATCAGAAAGTAATTCTTTACTCAGGGTAGGAAATAGTCACTCATAATGTATTCTACAACCACTGGAGGGCGCTTTTCCTATTAAAGCTAATGAATGTAACCTAATATCATGGCCTTGTGTGACAGCACTAGGACCTGGGAATCATTTCTGGCAAGGTTATGTATTGACTACATGTTTAACTCTAGGGTGCTTTATGAAATAGACTTGTTTCTTGCTGTCAAAATTGTCTTCAAATAGAATGTGCAAATTTTCACATTCTATTTGAAGACAATACAATTTCAGGATGATTGTAAATCTTGCTTTCTCAATGGTATTTTGATGTTGCTTATTTTCTCTTTTTGCTTTCATATTGTTGTTCTGAATGACAGCTAGAGATCTTTGAATATTTTCACACACAGATGGTGCTAGTCTTCCAGGCTTGGCACTTTCTTCTGATAATTACTATTAAGTAAATAATTATAAAAAAAGTGCCAAATCCTGAAGGCTATATAGCACCATGTCAACAAATATTAACAAATTCCTAGATATCATTCAGAATGCAAATATAAGAGCAGACAAGACGTAAGACAGATGATGTAAAAGGAGTCAGATTCAACAAGGAACTTATCAAAGGCCACATAACTCAACACAAGATGGGAAAAGCAAAATATCCAATCATTATGAAAATTGAGACATTCTGCAAGGTGCATGATAACTAGAAGAACAGTGCAATTCTAAAAGTAAGTTTTTTTTCCCACTAAGTGCCTGATTTAATTGTCAGAATACTATGTAAGCTAGCCAAATATATTTTTCACCTTCCTATTTCTGTGGCATGAAGGCAGCCATAGGTCCCATTTTATTGATAAATGGGAATTTGTTATTCATAATAGCTGGCCATCTACCTACAACAGTTTCACAATTGCATATTGACTGAAAAAATGTTAATCAGACGAGGAAGCTCGCTTCTGGGAAATGGGATGTGCACAAATTACCTTTGTAACAGTGGTGTCTGCAAGGTCATTAAAAGCAATACCAATATGGTCAGGAACCTAACATATCTTATATTTTCTAAAAATGTGAGAGCCAATGTTGGATTTTGATCACCATGGCCATAAGATCACTGCGAGTCTCCGATGGGAAAAAAAGATCAGGTAAATGAGCATGTGCGACTAAATCAACGCTCACAAGTGTCGCCCTCTAGAATCGGACTAGCCTAAATGAAGAATCTACTTCTCTTGGAAAAAACTCAGCAGTCCAGAAGAAATTAGTATAATAATTTGATACACAAATGCAGACCACACTACCCCATTAGAATGGATGGTGCATGTGCATCGTCAAAACAACAGAAGTGATGATACACTTGAGAAGGAAAAAAGCGGTACTTACAGCCAAAGTTAACACCATTCTGTGTGAGGTTCTTGAAGTTCTACCCTTGCAGATCCATGCACCACACTTGGTCCTAATCTTGTCCCCATTCTTTATGCTTCCATCATTTACACAACTGCCTTTAGCCTTGCAAGGTCCTGTGGTATCCAGATTGTACCTGTACCTGGATGGGGTTCTGGGAGTTGTTCTGCTCTCTCTCTTGACTTGAGAAAGCTTGGTCCAACAGGCTGTTGCTTGGAGCAGCCCGCAGGCCCACACATCCACTACAGGGCAGTTGGTACGGCACTTCTTGCAGAAAACTATCCAGCTTTTTCTTGAAGACTTCCAATTTTGTTCCAGCAATATTTCTTATACTTGCTGGGAGGATACTGAGCAAATGTGGACCTTTGATGTTTAGATAGTGTTCTCTGATTGTGCCTATGGCACCTCTACTCTTCACTACTGGTAATCACAAGCATATTATCAAAGCCTCAACATATCTGATATTCTTATCTCTTATGCACTTGACCTGACCTGATCTGGCCATGTTGTTAGCACTCCTAGGAACTGTGATTTCTCATTGTCTACAGAGTGGTTGTTGCCACAACCAGACCTGTTCTCTTGTTACAAGCCTACCAAAAATGCACAGCCAACCAAAATAAGCAATTGCTTGGTTAACATTTGCAACTCTGATTCAAACTGTAAACATTTGTTGTCTAGATCCAGCCACTAGATAGCTTCATTCCCTCATCTACAGATGGCAGTCTGGTGACCTGAGAGACCTGGACAACTACTCCAGTCATTCATGCACTGCCCACTGCATGATCCCTGTACACAATAGATCTAGATATAAGGACCCACCAGAACGAGATTTTGTTACATTCAGTGCTGGACTTCTGGGAGGGCTCTCTCCATCTCTCCTAGCTAACTCCCCACAGAAAGAGAACCAAAAAAAGCGGGCTGACCATTTAGGGAACGAAGAACCACAAAGTAACCCAGAAAGCAAATCAAAACTCAAACAAGAAACCAGGACCACGAAATAACAGGAACACACACCCAGGCATCCACTTCTGGCTAGAAAGTGAAGGTATAGCAAAGTGCATGGAGGTAACATAATGTATACAGTATTGCAACATTTATAACAGTCATGTCAGGGAGAGGGAGGGGTCAAAGGTCAGAAAAGGCAAGGGGAAGAATGAAACGAAGAGCAGGTGAATGAGGAATGTCAGGCAAGGTTGCTGGATCAAGGACCTAGAAATTGTTTGAACGCCGAGGACTGAAAGGATAACAGGTCTGAAGTTCCAGATGTGCAGCATGCATATGTAGCAAATCATATTAGATGTCAGCTACTTAAAGTGTTTTCTCGGAAGGAACATTTGGCATCTCCGAGGATTGCTGAAAGCAGGGGGGGTATGGCTATCGAAAGTAATTTTTACCATACAGAGAGGCCAAATATGCTAACCACATATTGCCTTGGATAACAGAGTCCCTGGGATTCTATGACTGTCACAATATCTCCTGGCAGGCCCTATGATCTGTGTCCCCCAACAGTGAAATGGATCAGATGAACAATTAGTGCTGATGACATTAGCATCAGCATCAGAATATTTGCATTTATGCAAGTATTCGTAGAGACCCAGACCAGGACATAACCAATATACAGCTAGGTAGTCAGCCTAGGTATTAGGCCTCTTTAGAATATACCTCGACTACATGCATGCTAAACCAGTGGGAACAGAAGGTAACATTCGTACCAACTAAATGAAGAAGGTAGAGATCAAGTACAGCTAGCTCATCAGTACTGTAAAAGAAAGCTCAAAATATATGGTCATTGTAAGTGGACCCAACAATGGAACATAGAAGCTGGAAAGGTAATAGAGTTAAACCAAGTATGATTTTAATGCCATGTCCTTCCATGAGGTGATGCTTTTACAGAGACGGTATCTTACAGGATGACAAACTAGTCACCTGGTCAAACTGGTGCTGCAGCAAACACCCACAAATCATGGAAGTGATTTGTGGCAACAGCAACAGCCTGTTGGACCAACTTATCACAAGTTGAGCTGGCCTTAGGCTGGGCTCGTGGAGTAGAACTCCTAGAACCCTCTCCAGGTATGCTGGGAAAGAAAGATCCAGGGACTGGCAGATCACGGCCCAACACAGTAGAAGCTGAGGATCTAGCAGGGAGCTCTTCGAAGAGAACCACTCTTTCAGATTGACATTATCACCTGCCATATGAGATGGACTGAGTGGAATATCCCTAAAAGGGTGATATACAACAGGACCTATTGTACTTTTGAGGTACAAGATAAAAAAAAAACATACCATGCCTGAGCCAGTAAAGGACAAGGTTTATCATCATAAGTGATGCTCCCCTTTTTCAATAAACTAGACCACTGACCTGAATATTTACCTACACCTGTTCGAAGACCTCCTCACCCTTCACAACTTGGCCCGAACACTCAAAACCATTCATACACAATGATTTCCCCAGTGAGTGCTCTAAATGTGTGGGTTACTGAAAGGCTCTCTGTAAACCATCCCAACAAGCAGGAGAGAGAACTCACTTCCCACCCACCACTGAACCAAACACAAGATGATAAAAGCACTTGGGCAGCTTCCTGGGAACAAATAATATATGCCAGTGACTAGTGAAGTTTGAGTAGCAACCCAATGACCAAATATGGCTATCAATCCAAGTACGGTTACACTTGCTATGCAGACGATGAGTCACAATAGCGTGGCTGAAGATAGGATGACCAAACCACACACCAGATGTGGAGACAACGACGTTTCGGTCCGTCCTGGACCTTTATCAAGTCAATTGTTCTTGCTAGCCAGACAAGCTGATTATTTCAGTTGGACCTCACTGACCCCTCTGTTTTACTCCTATTCCCCACTAGAGAAGCGTGTTGTTCTCTGCCTACCCACGAACTGTGGCTGCTGGGGAGGCAGAATTCCTTTTCACAGACAGGCGAAGTCTGGTTTCTTCTACCCCGGGAGATGCCCAACAGAACCTACCAACATAGCTTTAAAAATAGCACTCAAGGTCCAGTACTGCAACAAGGTAGCTATCGTGTAGGGTGATGGGTAGAAATCTGAGTATCTGACTCACTTCATGAGGTGAGACAAGCATGACCAGACTAGTAAATGGCGGTGTCTTCGCAAGATCATTGGAGGCAATACCAATGTGACTGGGAACCAGCAAAATTCAACTACCTTAAATCACTAAAGATGAAGTATAGCCCATGTCTGCTGCTGTATCAGCTCAGACCTGCAATGAACCTTAAAATCACTAAAGATGAAGTATAGCCAATGTCTGTTGTATCAGCTCATACCTGTAATGAACCTTAAATCACTAAAGATGAAGTACAGCTCATGTCTGCTGCTGTATCTGATCAGACCTGTAATGAGCCACCCAGAGAAACATTGTGTCCTTTTCAATAATTGTAGCAGATTCAATTATTTTCAATTCCTGAAGCTTTTAAAATGTAAACTGTTATAAAGAAACATGATTTGACAAAACCAGCAAAAGTTTAAAAGGCAATCATGACAAGAAAACATTTATGTAAAAAATTTCAAAATTTATATTCATATATACAAACATTGCATGTATCCAGTCAGAGCCAGACTATACAAAAATATACCAGAATTGTAATTCAGGGAAGAACAACAGTAAAGTGAAGACATGAGAACAATCAATACAGACATTACATTACATGTCCAACTCACTTTTTAAAGTCAACACATAAAACAATGCTTAGCTCTAATAAAAACAAATCAAAACTTATCTCGCATAAGAATATATCCATATACAAAACTAATATTTCATAATAATTAACGGGTGCTCCAGGAACTTTCAAAGATCACAGCAGCAAAACCCAATTGTCAGGTCATTAAAGAAAGCATTTTCAATCCCTATACTGTATCACACAAGCAAAATTTCATTAGCCACATTTTGAAAACAAATCTTGTATAATCATCACCACAAAAAAAAAAAATTAAATTTTACAATTTTTCAAACAGTAATCAAGAAAGCATGCTAATAATCATTAAAACTAGGGCCATGATTCACAATAACACTTTAAGCCTCCACTTTTGAAACCTGTACATCGTTCCTCAACCAAAATGGCTTAGGTTTGTATTTATTAAACAGTGTATGAGCTCCGAAGTACCATACAAGGTCATCCACAACAGTAATCTTGGATGGTGACTTTTCAAAGCTTGTAAGCAATTTCACACATACAGACCAAGCCACCATGACCATACAGGTCAAGGTGTGTAGGTCTCGCACGTGGATACGTAAATGCTTCATGAATCCTGGACCTGCTCGTGATCTTAACACACATGCCTACCAAAATCCATGCCCCTTCATGATACACTCGTCCATGTAGTAAACTCTACACTACCACATTTACAGTGAGTGTTAATGTAAGACATTTTTAACAATATTTTAGACTATTAATAAAAATTTCCACTTCCAACACAACACCTTAATGGAGCAAAAGGATAATAATGTATTACACTACACACACTAAGGGGACAAAGAAAATAAGTGTTGACTGACCCAGAAAATGCAACCAAAATACTGCAATTTCTGTACAGCAGTAACCTGTGCAACCGATACAACTGCCAGGATTACTTGGGTGAAGGAAATATGAACCAGAGCACCCATTTGATCAAGAATAATTGAGTAGCAAGAAGGGAAAAAAATTCAAAGCCATATTTAGCATATGTATAATAAAAGACTTAAAAAGGTGACGAGTAAAGAACTCAAAAATTTCAATACAACATTTTAAATGTTCGTAACTAACACACATACACTGCTGCCTTTACCTGCAACCACAACCTAAAGTAGAGAATGACACTATTTTTGTACCGATTGACTCGACATTCTCTACATATTCCAGTAACTTGACACAACAATGGACGCTCACAAACACGTCTCCCAAAAGCTACACATTTTAATATAGAGGAGAGAAAACAAAAATAAAAAATAGGCTGCATCTGAAATCAAGTGATAAATGCTAAGAATTCTATTCTGTAACATAAAAAATATCAATGGAAACTAAAACAAGCACAAAAGCCTGGAATATAATTCACAAGTTGCCATACTGAGAAGAACACCAACCAAGCAGGCTTGGAGAACTGAATTATTGCTTTGTGAAATATCGTACAAAATGAAACCCTTCATACAGTACAAACAATAAAAATATCTAGTGAAATAAAAAGTATAATGCATAAAGTAGACTCCACGAGCATATTATTCGTCGAGTTGCAAGCATGTATAGAAAATTAACTCAAAACATTTTCTTTATACAAGTTTTTATATAATATAATTCACACATCTAAAAAGTTATAACATTATATATAACACACGGAAAGAAGTACTGTCACCGTAAAGTGTCGACCAGCACAGGAGCGTGACTACCAATGCAGCATTTGTGTTTTGATGCAAAACCATTACAAAATTGACACGAACTTGGCTAAGGTTTTATTCTTTGTCCACATCACGCTACCCTTTTGGCTATTAAAAGAAAATTATTACATGAAAAGTCCCAATACCAATATGTGCCTTATAAAAGATAAATATTTCAGAAGAAGAGTTATAATAGCAATACGTGCCCATTCTATTGCATGACACAGCAGTTGTCAAAAAGTTGTAAGGATTGAAGGTGTTACAGATATTGTAATTTGTATTTGCTGGGGATACATTACAGTGGTAAAGGATGTTGAAGAAGGAGTAATTATCACTGAACATCCTGAGAAGCTGACAGAAAACAAAAATGTAGAACAAAATGGAGGGAAATGTTAGTTATACGACTCCAGATCCTGAACAGCCAGCAGAAAATGGCAACTAAAACAAAGTAGAAGGAAATACTAAGTCACATAACAACTGCAGAGCCTGAGCAGTTAGCAGAAAACAGTAATGTAAAACAAAGTGGAAGTAAATACAAATAGTATATATTTATATATATAATGATTGTAATTGCAACTATACAGAGAGGTGCTGGTGGATAATTATGATAGTGTATATATATATATATATATATATATATATATATATATATATATATATATATATATATATATATATATATATATATATATATCTATATATATCTATATATATCTATATATATCTATATATATCTATATATATCTATATCTATATATATATATATATATATATATATATATATATATATATATATATATATATATATATATATATATATGCGCGCAGTATACTGGAACATTATAACAGGGACACGGAGTTTAAGATCATGATGATTTCGGACTGGATTGGAATGAAGAATAACGTTAACTAATTACCGACATCCTGCCTGACAAATACCAAGAAATGCTAACTTTTTTTTAAACATTCCAACTCTGGAAAATAACATTTACTGTATATGAAAGTGAACATTTGAAATCCTGCTGTTCAAGTTATAATTACATAGTCGACTTACTTCCCCACAAAACCACCTATGGCAACAAGAAATCTATAAATTCTTTTAACTGTTTACTCAAGAAAACACAATGATAAATTTGTATGAAGCCTTCAGGAAATTGCTTTGCAAAAATAAAAAAAAAATACATATCTTATGTTAAAGTTACTATAGCACCATCATGATCAACTTCACATTGATAAGTACACTACAAACGTCTAGTGATATTTTACACGCCTATATTACACGAAACTTGAAACATGTCTTTGAGGCTCCATCAAGAACTGGGATGCAACAATGAATTCATTAAAAAATACAAGATGCAACTTTATCTCAACCTGCAATCATTACTAAATACTTTGCCCAGATTTTTGAATCAACAATATTTCCAACTAACCACAAGGTGCCCGTGATACCAAGGTGCCTGTGATACCAAGGTGCCCGTGATACCAAGGTGCCCATAATACCAATCGGCTACCCCCTGTCAGCTCCCTATATTACATACAAGTAAACCAATCTCTGGATTAATACCACTACTGGTAACTAAATACTGTACTCAAAGCTAAATTTTTCTAATCATATGCAGAGAAAACCATAATATCTAGATACTATAGTGACTGACTCCTGAATACAAACTAATAACTTTTCACTTACACAATCTACAAAGCACATGTTAATCAAGACTAATGTAACTAAAGAAGGAATAAACATTTTCAGAGCAAAACAGAAATGCATGTGGAACCAGCCAGCTTAATCCACACACCACAAAGTACAATTGACCACATTCAACATTCACCAATTTGTCAGAACTAGCCCCTTGGACTCATGCCAGACCAGCTAAATAGACCATCAGTCAATGTTAGTAGCTACACCTTTACACTACTGATTACATTATAGCTTCATTTCACATCAAATTTTTTTTGTTCACCGAGTACGTCACTTGGCGGCGTCGCAAGGAACGTACTCCAACTACTGCTGCTCCACCTAAAGGAAAAAAAGAAAAATCTTAGCACAGGTATTCTGATTTTATGTAAAATACAGAAATGGAGAATTAACATGAAACAGTGCACAAAAACACTCCCAGAAATTAAATTGTAACAATAATAGCTGGATTGAACCTGAATGGGGTTCTGAGAGTTCTTCTACTCCCGAAGACCGGCCTAGGGCCAGGCTCGACTTGTGAGTTTGGTCCAACAAGCCGGTGCTTCAAGCAGCCCGCAGGGCCCACATATCCACCACAGCCCGGTTGATCCACCACTTCTCAAAGAAAACTATCTAGTTTTCTCTTGAAGGGGATTGACAGCCGAGTAGACAGCGCTAGGAATTCGTAGTCCTAAGGTTCTGGGTTTGATCCCTGGTGGAGGCAGAAACAAATGGGCAATTTCCTTCACCCTGATGCTCCCATTCACCCAGCAGTAAATAGGTACCTGGGAGTTAGACAGGTGCTACGGGCTGCTTCCTGGGAATGTGTAACAAAAAGGAGGCCTGATCAAGGACCAGGCCGCGGGGACACTTTGTCACATCTTTGACAACGTCACTAAAGTAAAGTAAAATATTAATTTGATTTTATGAAACAACAGAGTACTGTAATTGAAATGAAGCCATTACTAAATCAAGTACCTTTCCCAAGTACTAAATACACAGCATTATTACAGGAAAATTAGTACAAATTACAAAGAAACCAAATGTCAACATCAAAATAAAACAAAATATACTGTACTACAGTATCTATTTACTGTAATCTACTTTTATCACCAAAAATAAAAGACTAAATATAAAAATAGGCACGAGTGCAGAAAGAATTGCAGACGATTCCAATATGATGCTAAAGATAAAAAAACTAAACACAAGCTCCCACACTAACCAACCTCTATCAAGTGTATCGAAATGGCAGATTACCTCACCTTCATCATTTGACTCGCTCTTTCCCCCAATATCAGATGAACTGGCTGATGATTTACTGGAGAGGGACTCTGCCGAAGATTCATCTTTGTTCATTATTGACGGGAAAGGTGGTGTCACAGTCTTGCTTAAAGTTGGCCTGGAATTCGCACCAGTCATACTCGAAGATGCACTGAATGATTCATCCTTACTCAAAGATGATATAGCGGGAGATTTGAGACTGACTGGTGATTCATATCTACTCAAGGATAATCGGGAAGGTTTCCGACTCCTTTTCAAGGATGAGCCAGAATGTATATCATTCTCATCTGAAGACAACTTATCTGGTGTCTCACTCTTATAGACCATCCTTAAAGACATCTTGAGACTGGAAGGTGATTTTGCTGGTGTATTATAACTGGATGATGACCTACTTAGCGATTCATACTTGCTCAAGGAAGACGTAAGTGGTGATTTTTGGCTAGATGGTAAATTTGAAAACTCATTTTTGCTGGGTGAATTGCCTGGTGACCTACACATGCTGGAGGATGAATTGCCCGGTGACCTGCCCTTGGTGAAGGATGAATTGCCTGGTGACTTGCCCTTGCTGGAGGATGAATTGCCTGGTGACCTGCCCTTGGTGAAGGATGAATTGCCTGGTGACTTGCCCTTGCTGGAGGATGAATTGCCTGGTGACCTGCCCTTGGTGAAGGACAACGCATCTGGTGATCCATCCTTCTTGGACGATACAGGTACTTGGGCAGATGCCTGGGATGATTCAGTGTGAGAACAGTTTCCACTTGGCGATACAGGTGCCACCTCACTTTTGTCTAAGAGAACTTTCAAAGAGAATAATCTAACTGGCACTTCATTCCTAGACATTATCTCACCAGATGACTCATCCCTGCAGGAAGATGACAGCATAACTGACTTGTGAAGCCTGGGAGATGATCCAATTGATGAATTTGCAGACTTAACTTTGGACTTTTCCTCTTCAGATGTTGAGCCGGCTGGTAACTCATTCTTTGGGGATATATTTGTCGGCACACCATCCGTCCTTGATGACGACTTCACGACTGATACGTGGGATCTAGTTTTAGTGATTAATGAAACGTTACTTTTAGAAGACAGCTCATCGACATTTTCAGAGACTGCCGTACTGGACTTACTTTCTCTATTAACTTTGTTAGTCACTTCTTCTTTGGTACTTTTCTCGTTATGAGTTACACCAACTGATTTTTTCTGTAAAATATAAAAAAAATACTTTGAATAAATGAAGCTTGTAAAGCTATTAATCCTGACTATAAATTCTATTCTCATGAACCCTTCCCAAAAGTATCATGTTCCAGGTATTAAGTTACATTACATACCTTGATCAGGAAGCTTTGGAGCATGTTCATGAAGATATACAAAGTCAAAATCAAGCATTAAGTGTAATGAAACTCCACTTTCTGTAAGACACCTCGTTGCATTCCCCGAGGCTTCAGGCATACCTCATGTATTATAAATAAACTTTCTACTAATATCTAAGTCTAACCTCAATTGGAAGGAACCCCCCAAAATAGTGATAAAAACACACCTTGAAGAGAAATCTGTTTACAGCAATCACACTACCAACAAACCTGAAGGAAATCATTGGTAAGACTCACTGGTTTGGGGGGGGCCTTCGACAAGCCACCGGCTTCCTGTCCTCGTCGAGGCCACTAGGATTAGTGGCCCTCGGGTAAATTAGGAGTGTCCCAAGAATCACACAAGACACTTGTATACCATACACACATGGAAGTACTCATAAAGCAAAAGCCTCCTTGCACAGATATCTAGTTTCAATAATGTAACGAGTAACTTAGCTAAGAATACTGGAGTTTACCTGGAGAGGGTACAGTTCTTCAACCCCCCCATGCACAGCTTGGGGAGTCAAGCTGGGGAGCTTGATGGCCATACTGTATTGTGGTGTTAGTGGTACTGCCTGGTGGTCATGAGGAGTAATGGCCATGTGTACCAACTAACAGTTACCAGAGCATTACTCAGCAGCCACTTTTGACCTTGAAGAGTGCTTGAAGGGGAATTGTGCTCTTACAAGCATTCCGTATGAGGTTACTCAATGCTGGTTTGAATGTTTTCTGCACTTCCCTAACATCAGTATGACCCTGCAGGTGTGTAGAGATGTTGCTCTACTCCTAATAGGGAGAACTACATACTTATTGCTGGTGCGGTTTGCCCGGCATCATGCTGAAAAAACCACACCAGCCAGGAAAGGAGGAGCAAACTTTGAACATTTTTGGAATTCATCAACCCCCCTCCCTCCCTCCCTCCAACTTCAAGTCCCTAAGCACAATAGAGGCCAACTCCAGGGCATCTACTCAAACACTAAGTCGCAAACCTCAAGCACATGCAAAAAGCCTGCAAGGTGGTTGCTGCGTGATAAGGCTCCTGTCTAGATGCAGATTTAGAAAAAATAGCCTCAGTGAATGCAAATGTCACAGGTCGCAGGGTTGAAGGTGTCACTAACCCAACAGGCAACGTGGCAAAGACTGAAAAAATGACTGTTGGCAAGTAGTAAGGCTGACAGGCATCCTTAAAACTTGCAAGTAGCAAATAAGAGCTCGAGGGTCAATACATAACACGTTGCACCAAAGACCTGTTGGGTTTACCTGGGCCTGATGGAATTCCCAAGCAGGATGTCAAGACACTCGAGATGCTTGCCAGAAGGACTGACCCCAAACGCAGACCTAAGGATAAATACAACTACGAAGGTCATCAGCGGTGAACCATATAGTCAAGCACATGAACCCCACAGCAAAAACCCCCAAACCCCCAATTACCAGGCCCAGCAGAGGGGTCAATGATTCTCGTACTATCTACTACCTAGGGTGAGGCACCCTACATAGTAGTCCAGCCTTTCAAGGGCAAACTCTTGAACTCTCCAGAGAAGTCACTGTCTGAGCAGGGGACAATGCCGAAACAAGTGCCTAGTGAAGGGTCACCCTAGACACATGCAGCTTGATGGGAGGGAATTATCAGGGGAAAGCGCCAAGAAATTACGATTATATAGCATTTGGAAGGGGTTAGGATAAGGATTTGTAATGGGGTGGGACATGCAACTTGAGGTGAAGAATGTCCACACAACAAGTGAGGCTTGATAAGCACACTGGTGAGGCAAATACAAAAGTTGGGAATAACACACAAGCAACTGGCTTCCACACGAAAGTGCCAAATAAGTGCCACTTACCTTTTACTTCTACTGAAAACATTCATTCAGCTCCAATATTATCAAAGCCCAATATTAACTTTGGCAATTAATCAAATAAAAAAGTAAGAACTATGATAAAAGTTGCATTTCTTACTTATAGAAGTTTCCAAAACAAACAAAAACATTTATTAAATATGACATAGTCCTTACCTTAGCTCCAAGTGGTGGTATGCGTACACTGGTTCTCAATCTAGTGCTTCTTCTTAAGGGAGAGGAGCACCCTGTGGATGAACCAGATAAGCTACCAGAGGAGTTTTGTTCAGGGGCAGATTCAGTCTGGCGTGCATTTAAATGGACGAGAGAGTCATTTTTGGTGTTTGTAGACAAGTCATCTCTCTCCTCATTTAGCTCCTGTAACCCTCCATCTGATACTTTTGTATCCTCATCATTTTCAAAACTAGTTCTGCCAGTAACAATTAATTCTTCAGATGCAAAATTAGATTTACTGAAACTTGAATCTTCTGATACTGTACAAGTTTTATCTGCAGAGTCTATGAGTATTTTTTCTGGTGAACCAACATTAACTAACACACTCTTGTCAGAATCACCTTCAATCACAGAGGGAGTACCTGATGGCTCTCTCAGCTTGCTGCGCCTGGACTTCCGAACTGCGTGACCAGGAGAAGAACTGTCGTCAGTTTCCAAAATGTTTTGCAAATCTTCAGAAGAGCTCGATTTTCTCCCTCTATTTACTTTTGTGACTGACCTTTCCTGAGCAACATTCTCCACTTGTGAGTTGCTCTTCATTGATGGAGATTTTCTCTTTGGTGAATCAGTTGATATTTCAAGGCTACTACTACTGGCTTTACTTCTTACAGGAGATTTTGGTGACTTTGGTAACTCAAGTGCTGTTTTTGACAGCTGTCTGGTCAATGTACTTTTGTCAGAAGTACTACAAGAGTACTTATTCTTTATTTTATCTTGCAAGGCTAAAGAACAATGAGCCTTAGCTATAGGAGTATTAGGTGCATCTGGTACACTTTCACACGTACCATTAGGAAGGGTAGTTTCATCTTGCTCTTCTGGTATCACCTTCTGTGGAGATCGAATGCCTCCGCTGTTCTTCCTAGGACCACGACTTGGTGTGGTAATGGGAGACGGGATCTTCTTAGGACTAGTAGCTAAACTCTCGGGTATTGGAAAGCTTTTTGCCCCATTTGCATCATTAAGTCCAGGTGAGACTAATTCACACTCTTCATCACTTACTTCTGGGCTGATAAGTACTTCCTTGGTTAAAACTGCCTCGGAAACACAATGAACTTTTAAATGTGGTATAGATGGATGAATATCACCCCTTTTAACGATATCTAACGTACCGCTCTTTGTTTTGGTCTTGGATGAGCGTCGACGCAACAGTGATCTCAGCATCATCTGAGTTGTTGGGACACCAGTTTTGTCTCTGTCACTCACCCCTACATTTCCCAAATAATGACAGCATGTAGTTTCATCATTTTCATCAGTCCCTGATGTAGACAATACCTCTAATTCTTCCCCTTCCTCTTCATCGAAATACTCTCTATCCCCTTCTCGGCTATCATCTAAAATTTCACCTTCAATTGTATGAATTTCTCCTTCATCTAGCTGTTCACTTGCAGTTTTACTCTCGCCAATGTCTGAGGTCTTGTCAGGTCCAGCCCCACCAGACTGATTAATCTCTTGCTCTGCAGTCAGTTCTCCCTCAATCTTGTTTATAAATCCTGACTGATCCTTCTCTTCCCTTCTTTGAGGAAGGGAAGCTTTCAGCTTTCTAGGGAAGCTTTCAGAAGAAATTTCATCAAGACCAAAATCAAGATGGTCTGATTTTAAACTTTCACTTTCAACACCAGACTGTTTATTTTCTGATGCAAGATCACCTTCAATTCCAGACTGTTTACTTTCTGATGCAAGATCACCTACAATTTCAGTGTGTTTATTTTCTGATGCAAGATCACCTACAACTCCAGACTGTATATTTTCTGATGGAAGATCACCTACAATTCCAGAGTGTTCATTTTCTGATGGAAGATCACCTTCAGTTCCAGACTGTTCAATTTCTGATCCAAGATCACCTTCAATTTCAGAACCTTTACTTTCTGATGCAAGATCATTTTCCAAGTCCAGGTTCTGATTTAAAGACACTGAAACAAGCTTATCAGCAACACCTTCAAGTGTTTCTGACGAGATACAACTCAATTCAACATTTTCACTGTGTGATTGCAGATGGCTTGCAAGCTTACTAGCCTGTCGACTTGATCTTCTCACTTTAGCAACTAACGAGTCTGTTGAACTGTCTTGCAACTCGGGATCCATCACATCCTTAATAGTTCGACAATCTACGTCCTTCACCGGAGATCCCATCACTGATTCTGAAGACATAGAAGAACTGGAAGACATGGTATTTAATAAATTAATTGCTTTAACAGAGGAGGTATCCACACTGTTTTGTTTATTACTTGAGCTGCAAAATGCTCTGCCCTTTTTACAATCAGATTCATTATGGGTCTTTGGGTCTACAGTGCCACTACTTTTTGTGCATTTTTTCCCATCAACAGCAGATTCTGATAAACAGGTTTGAACAGCAACTGAAGAGCCGGATACTAAGTTCGACGTCTCTTGACACCAACTCTGACTCCTTTTCCTTGGTCTCAAATGGACATTACCAGCTACTTCTGACAACCTCCTCCTCCGAGTTCTTTGAATTGGAGAGGCATCAGAATCTGAAGCCTCTTGCAAAATTCCATGAGATGCTAAATTTCTTTTCAAAAGTCGAGCTCTTTTTCGCACCTTGGGTGTAGGATCTTCTGAAGCATCACTACTTGCTTCATAAGCTTCGTCTGCACCTTCAATAGACTTCCCCTCAGATTCCTCTGTAATGGACTCCAATTCTCCATTTGTTGTTCTGTCATCATTATTATTTGGCCGATCATCGCCAAGACTGCAGCCGAATACGTTACTACGAACAGACGAATTTCCAGCATCTATTTGCTTAGACAATGTAGTGTCTGTTTCTACTTTATATATACTCAACTCTAGGGAATCATCACTGATTTGCAGTGGTTCCATTATTGGACAACACAATGGATCATTTACAGAATTAGGAGCATCAACAACAGAACCTTTACTGACATGATTCTCGTCACGAGAAGTCTGCTGGTAACTGTTTGACATCGGAATATTTGTTAGTTCTGATTTCACATCCTCAATATCGGGATTGCTTGTAGAACTAAACTCTGCTTCAAATTTTGTTTTACCTTCTTCAAAAGATGCATCCCCATATCCATCTGAATCTTCATTCTTGGTTACTTCAGTTATAATATCTATGACAGCATCATCCTCAATACTGGTTTTCTTTTGGCTAAAGCTACATACATCCCTTTGGTTCTTGCATACATCCAATGACTCCTCTCCTGTTGGTTTTACTTCTGTTGGCAATTCAGATTTATCACTGCCTTCTAATTTAACAATTAAATTCCTACAATCCCTTTCCACATCTTGGTTTTGCATCTTGGTATTGGGTAAGCGGGACACATTTACATTTTCATTATTATTGAGGCAATGGTCAGTTAACTCCTCTTGACTTGATGAATGGGATGCTAATTGTTCATCGTTTTCAGTGTTCTCTAATTTCATATTTTCATTAGCTTCTTTCACAATTTGATTAGCAACAATAACTACCTCACAGAGTTCAATATTTTGGTTTTTACTTAAGTTAGATTTTTCTCTATCCATGTTTTCAGGTTCTTGATCTTTGCTGACTTTAAACAAATTTTTATCAACAGTTTCAGTTTCTTGGTTATTGCTTTCTGCAAAATTTTCATTAGAAAGCACTACAATGTCTGAACCTTTGACTGAAGATTTTTCATCACTGCTATGTCCATTCTCAAGGGTTTTACCTCCTTGCACTTCTTCATTTTTTCCACTGCCATCACTTTCACCTAGTTCTTCCTTGATACACGTACCACCTGTAAATCTTTCCCGTAGTCCGTCAATACTTGTTAATCTGCCAGTATCTTTCACGATTGTCTGCAGGATCACCTCAATGCCATCGTCACTGCTCGACTCGAGATCACTGTTCTCTTCGTCGTCGCTCCTCTCCACCCCAATAGCTGGCTTGTAGAGCTTGTTTATCATCTTGCTAACAAAATCTACAGGGCCACCAACCTTCTTCTCAATTTCTGGGTCTGGGTCACTTAGGTTTTTATTTGTATCTGTTTCCTCTTCTGCATTTGTGTCATTAAGAATTTCATCCTTTATCATTTTCTGTTTCAGTTCCCGGTCTTCTTCTTTCAAAATATCTTCAACTTTTCTCTGGATTTCATCTTCCTTTAGTTTGGTATGGTAAATTTGTATCTCTTCATCAGTGAACATCTTGGCAGTTTCATCACATGGAATAATATCACTGTCAGTCCCCGAGGCCTCATCAACGTCACTTGCTTCATTGTTAAGAGTAAGTGCTTGTACACTCTTAACTACAAATGCTTCATCAAGGATTTCTACTTCAGAATCTGGATCTTCAATACCCTTTGGAGGTGGTGTTGGGCATTCCTCGGAGATATCCACAATTTGACACTCCTTGACATTTTCACTCTCATCTGTAACCAAGACTTCTGAACCTTTACTATTAAGATAATTTGATTTCAGATCTATTTCTTTATTAATACTCACAGATGTATCTCTCGCCTCATTTTTAATTTCTTCCACATCACTGTCAGCTTTACTGCTATCCAGTTGATATTTATCCAAATTGTCAAATGCTTCATTAATGCAACTGTCTGTTGCACAACTCAAGTCACTCCTAACATGGGTATCATTAAGTAAAATACAATCATTGCTATCCAAATTATCAGGCACTTCAATATCACAGCTATGTATCTCATCAGGAACTTCATCACAGGGTTTACCACCAGCCACAACATCACACGGTTTACCACCAGCCACCACATCACACGGTTTACCACCAGCCACCACATCACATGGTTTACCACCAGCCACCACATCACATGGTTTACCACCAGCCACCACATCACACAGTTCACCACCATCCGAAGACCCAACTGCTAAAGCATATCTATTTTCTTGGGATGAATCCTTTCTTAAACTAGCTTCCTTTTCAATGAGCTCATCAACTTTACTTGTTTCTCCACATTTAACATTTAATCTGTTCTGAGGACTCCTTGGCTCTAAATTTGTAACAGTGAAATTAATACTATTTCTTCTAATTTTCTGTCGCAAACTGGCCAATTTACGCTTATTCAATTTGAAAGTCTGACCCTTTTCATCACTTGGTGTTCTCATTCCAGTTTCCATTAGCATCTTCCTCCTTTCTGTCAATTGGTCACTCAACCTCCTAACCCTGGGTAGATTAAATGAAGATTTTGTATCCTGTACTGGGTCACTCAGAGTTCTAACTCGTGATTTAAAATGAGGATGAACCTCATCCCAACCGTGCGTCTTTTTCACATGGCCCACTTGCAAGGAAATATTCTTCGACGCAAAAAGATTTGCAGGATGTGTACTGCCTGACTTGGTCTCGTGTCTGTGGAAGTCCTCACAAGCTGGCATTTCAACACTGGTACCAGCTTCTATATTATGACCTGAGGTCTCTGTATTCTTGACCTTCTTACACTTTCTCTTTACTGCAAAAGATTCCCATTTACCAAGTTTTGTATCAACAACAGTGTTGATTTTCTTTTTCTTTTTGACTGACAAAGAACCCTCCACCTCTAAATGTGCTCTCTTTACATTTTTAAGCTGTCCCATTTTCATCCCCTTTTTGTCTTTCACAGTCACATCTTTTTCATCCCCTACCGCACCATCCTGACACTCGGAGTCTTTCACAGTCTTATCACAAACATCGGTTACTGTTCTCATGTTTTTCCTCTGAGCTACTACTTTTTGTCCCTCTTCCATGTCAATATTTGAAAGCCATTTCATTTTTCTATTTCCTTTGCTGTTCCTCTTATTATCTGCATCATTGGTGTGCACCTCCTCCAATGTCTTGTTAAGCGTTCTTTTGTGTGTCTTTGTTTTAACCGCCACCGCTTGTGTCTCGTCGACACCTGACACTTTTCCTATTTGTATATTGATGGTCTTGGATAACCTAGAACTATCATCATTTGTATGCTTTCCTGCCTTTACATTATCCAACAGCCATTTCTTCTTATATATCTTAACTAGTTTTTGTTGTGTATCGTCAGAACTTAAATCGAAAGTCTTTCTCACTTTTACATTTTCTTTCATATCGGCCTCTGTATTGGTGTCACCAGTGTACTTCTCTAATTTCCTATCACGTAATTTTTTCCTTTTCTTTGTCTTGACCCCATCTTGTTGTGTCTCGTAAATTTCTGACCCAGCAACCTTATCCACTTTTATATTGCCTCTCTTGTCTTCCCTAGAATGCCCATCAGTAGCGTGTTTATTTTCCTTTAATATTAAATTGGATAACTGTTTCTTTTTCTTTGTCTTAGCCACCTCATTCTCTGTCTCATGAATGTCTGTACCCAAAAATTTGCTTATTATATTTTCTTTTGTGCACGTGATGGCGTCTTGTGCACGTTCTTCTGCCACTGTTACATCAGGTTCCTCATTCTTTTTCTTAAGTTTCTTTTGTTTCATACAAATGCCTATATCTAATTTCTTTCTTAACTTAACATTTTCTATGTCGTCCAAAATATCCGTATCGTGTGTGTTTTTCCCATCCTCTACAATACTATCAACCCACTTTCTTTTCTTTGTCTTCACTACTGCTCCTTGTCTCTTCTCATCAATATGTAAATCTGATCCATCTCTCACTCCTCCATTTTCCTTCTTGTCCAGTTTAGTATCTGCATCACTGGGGCACTTCTCCATTGTCGTATCAGATAGTTTTTTCCTTTTGCGTTTCTTCTGCCGTGTCTCTTTAACTTCTGTACTTAAAGGTTTTCCTAATATCACATTGTCCTTCTTATTTACCACAACATCAACATTACTTGTGTATTTTCCTACACTTCCTGCTACATCCGGCAACTTTATCTTTTTCCTTGATGTTATCACATTTTCCTGTACCTCAGAAGTGTCCGTGCCCTTGGCCACCCTTACATTTTGACTGTCTACTATATTATCAGTATCGCTGCAGTGTTTCTCAATTTCAACTGTCGTCTCATTTGACCTTCTGTTCTTCTTCTTCTTCTTCTTCTTGACAACCAATTCTTGTATCTTGGAAACCTCCGAAGCCAACATCTTTTTCATTTTCCTTGTTTCCCACAGAGCCACCATCCTTGCGTTCCTTACCCTTGACTGACACGTCAAGCAACTCTTTCTTTTTATTATCCACCTCCTGCTGTGATTCACGCGCATTTGACGTTGGCATATTTTCCACTTTCGGACATTCTTTCGTGTCCGTCCTAAAAGCGGCTTCTCTTGCACATTTCCGTTTATGGATTGTCAACACATCATTTAAGCTTTCTTGTTCAATTCCTGTATTTTGTACAATAATTTGCTTTGAGTTTAATTTGGAGTTAGCCACTTCTTCATGAATTCTCCCTGATGTATTTTTATTGATCTTTTTCTTCGCCTTTCCACAATCATTTGGTATAGTCCCATCATCTGATGCCTTGGGAAAATCTATAATATCTTCTTTCTTTGGATTTTGAGAACCAGTTTCCAGGACAGATGTTGGTTCATCATTGAACAATGTCTGAAACAGGGTAAATAAATGGTAAACTGGTGTAAACAATGAGATGTAACATTAAAATAAAAATACAAACTGAAAAAAAAGTATAATGCTCCAATATTTTTCTTTTAATTACAAGCACATTATATATTAAATTAAATAAGGATGCCCAATTGGATTCAACATAAAGGAAATGAGCTACAGCCAATTCTAGTGGTAAAAATATTGACTGCATTCATAAACAGACTACACATTGAGAAAAAAAAAATCTTAAAATACCAGAAACCTTGAAACCTGGACGAATGTTTTGGCTCGTTCAGTAACACCTGCCAACCAAATATTTTGAAAATACTGTACTTACAATTTGTTTTGCTTGTACAGTGGCTCCCCTAAAACTCTGAACTTGCATGTAATGTACCAGTACTATAATGGATCCAATACTGTATTACTGTACTTGAAACACTGTACAGTATTTCTATTTTATACATATTTTACTCTGCGGTAACTTGTTCAAAAGTGCTGGTTACTTTTTTTTACCCGAGGCATCTATAGACCTACTGTGAAAACACCACACGGCACGGTGGTGTTTTTTCCGGTGCGCAAGCACAATCTGACCTCTCGTTCTGTTACTCAGGCATTTTCACCGATTTTTGACCGCTTGTCGATTTTGACTAAAAGTCGAATCGACTTGAGAATGGTCCAGGACGGACCGAAACGTCGTCGTCCCTTCACCTTCTAGTGTGTGGTCTGGTCAACATACTTCAGCCACGTTATTGTGACTCATCGCCTTCACCGATTTTTCTTTGGATACATAGTTTTATTATTTGCCAATGGAAACCATGTCATCCAGCAAGAATAGTAAAAAAAAAAAAAAATTAAACCCATAATTTAAAAGCCTGAATGCAAGAACTGGAATAACACAATATTACCTTAAGAGCTGCTGCAACTTTCATGTGTTTGAGTATTAATCGAGTGCTCCATACTTTGAGCTTCAGCCACGGAATTTTGTTTTGAACTGCCCAGTCCGCGAACGTTTCTGGGAGCTTGACAGACTTCACAATGTGTTTTCTCGTCTGAATAATCTGCAAAAAAACAAAACCAGAACAAAAATTACACAATATCCATAAAATATGATTATCATCATTACATGTAACTCCATTCCCACATGTCAAAAGGTGCATGCATCTTATTGTATGCTATAATAGATTTTTGAGGAAACGAATACATGGGTTTACATTTTTAATTATGAGGGAGACTAACAGGTAGTCTCTCCACAGCATTTGAGTGAAATTTGTGAGGAACATCCTTAATGAGTGTGTACACACAACCAGGTTATGAGTGTATTATTTTCCTGTAACTTTAAAATTAAAAATAATTTTCACCCAGGCTTACAAATTGATCACATGTAACTCAAAATTATTTCTGCGAGCTTTAAAGCACAGCTATTGGGGTATTATGAAACACCTTCTCATTATTACTTGTTTCACAAAGAGTGAAAAGGCTATGAAATAAGCTGGACATACAATACTGCTAATATTAGTCTTTTGCTGAATATTATTAAGTATCCATGCAAATATCTACATTGTACTGTAGATATTTGCCAAACCTACCCTGGCTTTGCGCCCTGGTGAGGCCACTCCAGACCGACAACCAGAACGCAACTCCATAGTCTCCTGAGACTGATGGCTACCTACTACCACTGTAACTACAGACCCTGGTAAGAGTACAGCTGAAGGGGGGTTTGCCCCCCCCTTGCAAGAGATACTTCAAAATAAATCTCATCAGACTGGCAAGTCAGCGTGTGTGTAACTTGTTGAGCATTCCTCGAGAGGTAAACATGTTCAACTTGCTCAGGGCTACCTTACCTTAAGGTTACCTTGAGGTGCTTCCAGGGCTTAGTGTCCCCGCGGCCCGGTTGTCGACCAGGCCTCCTGGTTGCTGGACTGATCAACCAGGCTGTTAGACGCGGCTGCTCGCAGCCTGACGTATGAGTCACAGCCAGTTGCAGCAGCCTGTGACGTATGAGTCACAGGGCTGTACACGTTTCTTAAAAGCAAATTGCTCTTACACACAAATATACACTACCATGAAAGTACGCACCCACGAAGCTAGTACTGGATTATTTGTGAAACCATGTGCATGAGGAATGTAACCTCATGTTGCAGATATCTGGTTTGTACCAGCAAACGAAACTTCAAGTGCAACTGCCAGGCACAAAAGTAGTATACATGGCCAATGAACACCAACCTTCCATGCCACTGCATGAAAGGGTTTAAGAAGCTGCAATGAAAATGAAACCAAAAGCTCAAGCTTTGCCATATGGGTTCAGAATTCCACCTTCCTCCTGAACCAGACCCACAGCACAACTTCTCCATTCACCAGCTCGACAGGTTTCTCTTTGGTGACCAAGTCCCAAGGCACCACTCGGTACAGGATCAATGAGTTGACCCAAGGGAGGAACAAATACACTGCAGGGAAGATAACTCTGGTGGTAAACAGTTTCAGCTACCAGCACCAGGAAAGATAACTGGTGGTAAACAGTTTCAGCTACCAGCACCAGGAAAGATAGCTGTTGGTAAACAGTTTCAGCTACCAGCACCAGGAAAGATAACTGGTGGTAAACAGTTTCAGCTACCAGCACCAGGAAAGATAGCTGTTGGTAAACAGTTTCAGCTACCAGCACCAGGAAAGATAACTGGTGGTAAACAGTTTCAGCTACCAGCACCAGGAAAGATAACTGGTGGTAAACAGTTTCAGCTACCAGCACCAGGAAAGATAACTGGTGGTAAACAGTTTCAGCTACCAGCACCAGGAAAGATAACTGGTGGTAAACAGTTTCAGCTACCAGCACCAGGAAAGATAGCTGTTGGTAAACAGTTTCAGCTACCAGCACCAGGAAAGATAACTGGTGGTAAACAGTTTCAGCTACCAGCACCAGGAAAGATAACTGGTGGTAAACAGTTTCAGCTACCAGCACCAGGAAAGATAACTGGTGGTAAACAGTTTCAGCTACCAGCACCAGGAAAGATAACTGTTGGTAAACAGTTTCAGCTACCAGCACCAGGAAAGATAACTGGTGGTAAACAGTTTCAGATACCAGCACCAGGAAAGATAACTGGTGGTAAACAGTTTCAGCTACCAGCACCAGGAAAGATAACTGGTGGTAAACAGTTTCAGCTACAGGCACCAGGGAAGATAACTCCAGAACCTAACCAAAGCAGATTACTTACCTGTTGGTTCTGGGAATCAATTTCCTTGCACCCCACACCCAGGCTGTTAGATGCTGTTGCTCGCAGTATGATGTATGACTCACAGCCCAGTCAGTAGCCGTATTATTAAATATTGTCTGAACCTCTTAAGATAGTCAATGTACCACCAAAAATAGAATCCCATTCTTCACAAAATAATGTGAATGAGATACATAGCCATCCCATCCAACTGGGATGAACTCCTAAATGGAGCTTTAGAGTTTACTGCAGACATAAGAGGAGTAAGTGGGAAGCTAGCACTGTTCCAATGCTACTGGATGCAGCTGAAACCACCCAAATGCAAGCCGAGCTAGAGAGTGAAGGGTTTGCTTCACCTGAGGAGCTACTGAAAACTGCTTTCTGATAGTAGTGGGAGGCGGTTAAGTACCTAGTAAACGTAATTCCGTTTTTTGTCTGGTGTGTTCCTAAACATGAATCTGAGAAAGCTTGAGTGTTTTGAGCATGCTTTTCATTTCTTGTGAGTGGTTCACCACAGTATCGAGATATATCTGATCCCCACTGCTACCCTTGCCCCTTGTAAGGTACAAGAAAAGTTTAAAAATGTCCTTTTTCCCAGTAGACAGTGAGTCGTTATGGGAACCTGTTCTACCTAGAATGCCTCTTGACATTCCAGTGTTGAGCTTAGAGGAGCTACTAAGCGAGCCACACCACTTTTGTTAAGACACCAGGGATGGCAAAAAAATATTATGAGCAGTTTAAGTGTTAATGAACAAACTTGTACTAACTGGTGGACTAGGCAACCAAGGATACTTTTAACCTGATTACATTAATGCAATGAAACCATATTTCCCCTATTATTATTTATTATTATTATTATTGTTATACAATATTACCTCCTCCTTTTTGGTCATGAAGAGCAGTAGTTTGGCCAGCAATAGGTACTTGAGGTACACTTGTGCAGACAATGCTCTTCTATCTTTCACCGAAGACAATAGACGCCTGAAACAAACCATGCGGATCAGAGGTAGTACTTGAAGATTTTTCACTACGTGACTAATGTCAAAGGAGCTTATATAACTAATATACAATTCAATTGTCTAACATCTCTAATGTAACACAAAGAGTGAGAGAGGACAAAAACAATACAAAAGTGTATAGAAATGTCAATAAGAAAACAAAAAATGTGGAGAAGCAGCATAGCACATGAAAGTGTTGCAGAGAGTGAGGGAAGAGAGAGAGGGAATTATCAGGGAAAAGTGCCATGCCATTACAACTATATAGCACTTGGAAGGGGTCAGGATAAGGATTTGGAATGGGACAGGAGAGGGGGCAGGGAAGGAATGGTGCCCAATCACTTGGACAGTCAGGGATTGAACGCGGACCTGTTTGAAGCGAGACCGTCGCTCTACCGTCCAGCCCAAGTGGTTGGACGGAAGGGAAGAGACGGAAATTATTAAAAGGTGCCACAGAACATACGTTATTAATGGGACAAATATCTGTGGTTGTCTTGCACTCTTGTAGATAAGAGTTCTGCAATGAAGGAGGGTATCAAGGATGCGTTCTTCACAGTGACCTGAAAAAAAATTAAGCAGTTTATATACTAATTTCACTAAAAATTAAACATTTTGAAATACTTTCTTGAAAAGAATTAACAATTCAATATCACATTTACAAACTGAAAATAGTACAGCCTCCTAGCATCAACGAGACGCAGATCTTAGATTATGCTAGAAGCTCAGACAGGTAGTTAAAATACAGAGGAAAGTACACAATGTATTGCGAGGAAAATTGAGAGTACGTAGCAAACAAATGAAATCGGAAAGCAAATATAACATCTCAAAATTTTTAAATTAAATCTCTAATACAAAAGATGAGCTCGGTTATTCGAAGCCCACCGAATTGAATATTTGGGTTATCTGGCCAAAATCCCATCTGGATAACATTCTGCAAAACTTTGTCACATCCAGACAGAAATCTGGATAACCGAAGATTTGCCCGGATAATACAGACTGGTGTCAGTTAAGTCAAGCTCATTATCTGGCAAAACCTCCTAATATCCAGACAGAGAACTCCAGATAACTGGAGAATAGCTTACATAAATGTTCAAAAACTACACATTTCAAGACCTACAGTCTCAAACAAGAAGACAAACTACAATAAGGTAAGCTCAAGTTTGTTTTAAATTATATATTTGACTTATAGTGTGTGGAAATTCAAATTACGTTGGCTGTAGTACAAAAATTATGAATATGGTCACTGTTGGATTTCCCCTGGTAATAATTCTGCTTATCAGGATGTCTGACTCATCATGTAAGGAGGGTTATCTTGAGAAGATTTCGGGGCTTTAGTGTCCCCACGGCCCGGTCCTCGACCAGGCTTCCACCCCAGGAAGCAGCCCATGACAGCTGACTAACACCCAGGTACCTATTTTACTTCTAGGTAACAGGGGTATAGGGTGAAAGAAACTCTGCCCATTATTTCTTGCCGGCGCCCGGGATCGAACCCAGGACCACAGGATCACAAGTCCAGTGTGCTGTCCGCTTGGCCGACTGGCTCCCCTGGTCCCAATCCCCCTGGTTCCCACGGGGGGGCCCATTTAGTTCGGATAAGCAAGCTTGGACTATAATATATCTTAAGATTTCTAAAAATTATTAAAGTATTTTTGAATTTGACACAAAAGCCTTCAAATTCAGTAGTGTTGAACTTTATGAAACATTCCTTTCTCAATTGCTTCCTTGGATGCAAAGTACTGCATCTATAAACTAGATTTGGGTGTCATTTTACTGATGAACTTTCAATTCATACAATAGGTTTTAAAACAAGTCAATAGAAAACTGATAATGTTTTTATTCTGCTTGGTTCACAAATAACATGTTTAAATAGTCGCGAACCAGCGACCTTACCCTAATACCATATAGCATTTGTTTTAGTGCTAGCTCAGCCATTTCTAGAGTATGATAATGCACACAACCTGCATGGTAAACACTTGACTCTTGTACTCACCTAGCATTATATTTAACTTGACAGAGATCCTTGAAATTGTTGCAGGCTCTTTACCAGATCTGCAATAATTATTTACACTAATTTAATACAAAATTCACATTGGCCGACATTGTTCACACACTGACAATTTCATCAATTGTAATATGAAATTTGAACTAAATGGCCATGCTTAGGTCAGCCTTATTTCCATTATGACAAATATCTAACATATTACAGTAGTCACATGTCAAATACTAAAATTAAAAGTTTTCAATATCTCGTGTATGTTTTTTTTTTTTAAATTAGTAATTATTGAATTAGTGCCTCAGGAACAGTATATAGTCCAGGAACCAATCAACACATGCAACACATTTTATTGTCACCATTTGGTTTTTACTGCAGAAACTTGCTCAAAAACAATTCAAAACAAGAACTGTCCTCTTCAAGTTAATGCCAGCTTATGACCACTCAACTGCTAGCTCTATATGTCCCATTGTCAGAGACAGGAAACCTATGCTGACCAGACCACACACTAGAAAGTGAAGGGAAGACGACGTTTTGGTCCGTCCTGGACCATTCTCAAGTCAATTGAGAAAATGGTCCAGGATGGACCAAAACATCGTCATCCCTTCACTTTCTAGCGTGGTTTGGTCAACATATTTCAGCCACATTATTGTGACTCCTCGTCTGCACAGGAAACCTATACTTAGGCTTATTGAGGTCCTCACTAGGCCAACTATATACTGTACTGACTTTCCCCAGGATGCGACCCACAGCTGTGTCTCTAGGTGAATAGACGCCTCAGATGAAAGGAAATGTGCACAATCATTTCTAGCCTGCCCAGGAATTGAATCCAGGTCTCTCAGTTGTAAACAGAAGATAACCACTATGATACAGAACTCATCAACAGTATTTGAAAATATGTTCCCCATGCAACATAGTAGAGAAACAAATGATAAGAATTTTGCCTATTAAAGCCAAATGTTCTAAATATCATGTGTACCGAGCCAGGCACTCTCCCACCAGGGTCCCCCAAACAAAGGTATCTCTTCACTCAAGGTTTGACGCCCATCAAAAGTAAATGAAAAATCAGACAAGTTGGTACAACTAAAGATATTTAAAGCAGTATAATCAACATGCATGATGGTACTAAGATACTTGAAGCAGTACAAATAACACAGAAGATGGTTCTAACTACACAAGATACTTCAAGTGGTCAAAATATCACGCAAGAAAGTACTAACTACGTAACGCACTTGAAGCAGTCTCACCTGACAGACACAACCTCCGTGTCAATCACTGCAGCAAGGAGAAGAGAGATCAATCTGTTGACCTCAGCCCCTGATAACTCCTATTAGAAATGAATCTTAATGAACATTTTAGCAACAGTGAGAGGCATTCCACATGTGGTAACTAGCTAGACAAATAATACATTTCAGAAATCTTAACTAAAATAAGAAAATATGCTCCTTACATCTAAGTTATACAATTATGCAAACCATTACTTGTCCTAGTCTCTAAAGGCATTACATGCTCTAAATAAATGACAAATATACGTCAAGTAAAAGTTCTAATTTTAAGTCTAATCACAATGAAAGTTCTTTAATGTCAATCCATTTAACGAAACACTTTAAGAGGGGTATTTTGGAAACTCTTACTCATCAAGAACCACATTTTTTGAATGTCAAAATAAATCCAACAAACAAAATATTCATAGTACTCAAACTAACACTAAATATCATATAATGTAAACACATTAAATATTTCTTTAAGTTATATAATTACTTTGATAATTTTGTTCCCATATTTATTGTAAAAGTAAAAGAAATGGAAACAAAAACATCCTTCAGACAAAAGTTGATATTATTGCAAGAGTGAGAGTGAAGCAAGATGTTGCTTCAACATGCATCAAGATGCATGATGAACGCATGATGATGCTGAAAAAAGTGTTTATGTGAATCTAAGATGAGGAGGAGGAGGGGAAGGCCATGAAGATGATGAGTGGACATGGGAGGGCGGGAAATTATCAGGGGGGAGGGGGGAAACAGCCAAGTCATTACGACTATATAGCACTTGGAATATCTTGAGTTATATCTTGAGTTGATTTCGGGGCTTCAGTGTCCCCGCGGCCCGGTCCTCGACCAGGCCTCCACCCCAAGGAAGCAGCCCGTGACAGCTGACTAACTCCCAGGTACCTATTTACTGCTAGGTAACAGGGGCATAGGGTGAAAGAAACTCAGCCCATCATTTTTCGCCGGCGCCCGGGATCGAACCCGGGACCACAGGATCACGTGTCCAGCGTGCTGTCCGCTCGGCTGGCCGGCCCCTTTGGAAGGGGTCAGGATAAGGATTTGGGATGGGACGAGGGGAAAGGAATGGTGCCCAACCACTTGGACGGTTGGGGGTTTAGGAGAAGAAGAAGAATTCAAAGTCGGGAGAAGTTGGGAGAATAGGAGAAAAGACAAAAAGTTAAGAGACGAGGGGAGGTTTGAATCGAATATGAACAACACATGGGATGTGACAAGGAACAAGAAAGGATGGCAGTAGCTTCTAACAAGTGATTCCCCCCCCCCCCCCATTTTTTTTTTCCCCGAAGATGAAAGCTCACACAAAGCCCTGTTTGTCTGCGATGCTATAATGTGCTGTAGATTACTGTGAATAACATAATTAACGTGTGAAATTTTAAAATATGTATAGCCATCTAATATACAGTATTGTTTTAAGATAAATATTTTGACAGAAAATGGTTATCATGTTAATTTGCAGAAACTACACTATTACACACTTTGGTATGTTCTAGTACATGTAAAGGAATTGTCCACAAAAGGCTAGGAACAGATTAATTTTTCATACAAATATAGAGTACATGGCATTAATAAATGTCACGTGGACACTTACAAGAACCCACAATAGCAAAGGTAAAATAATATATTACAGGGCACTCTCAAGCATGTAATATATGCCTGATCTGTTTCTGAAATTCAAATAATTGTTAATACAGTACTAACATTTTTCTTAACATGAACTAACACCATGAAACACTACATCTAGCAAACACGCAGTAAAAGGTTAAAATTAAAAAAATATAAGAAACAAAAAGGAGCCAGTTAAATCCTCCGAGTTGGCACACTCACCGAACTCTCGACTGCAAGATGAACGTGAGTGATCAGACTGCTGAGGAGGTTACAGTAATTCCGCCCATTTCGGTTTGGGTATTTTAGCCCTCTCCGCACTGCTGTCTTTAAATTACTAAAAAAAAAAAAAAAAAAAAATATTAGTCAAATTCTGTTAGATAACTTAAATCTATTACTATTAAACAAGTGGCCCATGACTAAACATGAAATCTGCATAACCATACCCACCTTGTCTCAATGCCCATCACATCACATTTGAGATATTTTCATTAGCACTCATTAATAAGATCAAGTTCTTCAATTGCCACTATCAGCAACAGGGAAAACTGTACTTCAATCAAGATCCCCCACTAAGATACAACCCATAACAGAGCCTTAACTTGTAGTCGGGTTGAGCCAGTTGAGCAAAGGCATCGGGTGAAAGGACCTGTACATTCTTTCTAAAATGCTGATTTTAACATTTACAGTATATCTTCCTATCACCACCACTCGAGACAAAGTGGAAAAAGTGCTCAAGGAACTAAATAGGTACAAAGCAGCTGGCCCAAATGGAGTTTCACCTTGGGTTCTGAGAGAATGTGCATCTGAGCTAAGCAATCTGCTTCAGTTGATCTTTCAGACATCTTTATGTACAGAAATCTTAGCAGATACATGGCAAACAGAGTGATAGACGATTAGAATAAGTTAAGCGAGGTGGTGGTGGTGGAGGCCAAAACCGTTAGTAGTAGTTTCAAAGCGTTACATGACAAAAAGCACTGAGAAGACTGGACAGAAGAGAAGGTGGTGGAGGCCAAGACTGTCAGTAGTTTCAAAGCGTTATATGACAAAGAGTGCTGGGAAGACGGGACACCACGAGCGTAGCTCTCATCCTGTAACTACATTTAGGTAACTATTGCCTTATACTCTCCTTTTATTTGGGGGGAGAGCCGTGCATGTGTTCAGCCCACTTTTTTGTAACCTCTATTATATTCAAAGCTAAAGTTTTAATGGAATAATAATACTGAAAAAAAAACATATAACAGTACCATAAATGTAATTGGAAGACTAATTCATTGTCATTCATTTTGTACTTGTACAACACAAAGTTTTTTCCATTTGCTTAACTCTATATTTAAGCATTATATGCTTTGTTTAAACATTATTCTATATTTATTTATTACACTTTTTTCTTTTAAGTTATGCTTGATTAGACAAACACAATCTTTAATATATTTAATCAATATCAACTTACTTCTCAATTATTTTGGAGACATTACTTAATAGTATTTCAGATGTAGTGTCAATAGCCCTGTTGACCAAACGCTTAGTGATCTCCACCCATGGAAGGTCTCCGCTCATCTGTTAATAGTATACACACACTTATTAGCAATAGGGTATCACTGAAAATTTTGTCACTGGCCATCTGCAAAATGTACATTTTTGGTGCATTTCTCAAGCAATTACTGTAAAGGATTACCTTATTTGCTAACATATAAGATGCACAGGATAGTTTTTTGAAGTCCTTTTAAGAATGTGTCCTCATTTATTTCTTGGAACTGATTTTCTAGTAGAATACACATGATTTTGTGCAAATAAATACAATATACAGTATATTTGGTTGGTAGTGGATCAAAAACATGCATCCTATCATCCTCTGGCAAATACAGTAATTTCCAACTCTGTTTTCACACTTTTTAGCTACCAATTGGGCCAAGGCATAAAATTAACAGTAGTTTATGGTAACTAAATTTTAAAGAATTACTTTAAGAATCGAAAATCATAATAAATTTCTCTACATTCCGATACCAATTCCAATTACTGAAAATGATTGATTCTTCGGATTACTGATACCAATTCTGATTAATCATCCCATCACTACTAATTACCTCTCTCAACAAACATTTTTATCATATTTCTCATAAAAGTTGATTGAATTGGTTTCAATAACCTTTTCCTTCAAATCGTATCTCATTCTTCCTGAGCAGGGTTGTCATTGAACCAGTCACTCCCCTTCTCTAACTCAATTCACACTCAACACTGTCCGCTCACTCACTAATCTTAACTTCGAGAACTTCGCCATCTGCCTTTTGTAAGACATTTTCCTTCTTTCTTCACCACCAGGGAGCCGGTCAACCGAGCGGACAGCACACTGGACTTGTGATCCGGTGGTCCCGGGTTCGATCCCGGGCGCCGGCGAGAAACAATGGGCAGAGTTTCTTTCACCCTATGCCCTTGTTACCTAGCAGTAAAATAGGTACCTGGGCATTAGACAGCCATCACAGGCTGCTTCCTGGGGGTGGAGGCCTAGTCGGGACCGGGCCGCGGGGACACTAAAAAGCCCCGAAATCATCTCAAGATAACCTCAAGCTAACCATCATTACTTATGTCCACGGTCACTTCCAATGTAAATTTTTAACCAAGACATTTCACTCTAACCCTAAGTATATCTACACACCTCTGAGTACTAGTGATGATGCTTTCCAAGTTTCATACCAATCAACCCCAAAATATAATTACAATGGTAAGTTGTGGTAAATATACAGCCAGGCGGTAAGAGAAACAACAAAAGTTTGCCACAACCATCCAATGGGCATAACTTACATGGCAAATAATTCACCAAATTCAACTCTCCACTCATGCAAAGTTATTGGGGCGTCGTGCACTCAACTTTCTCTTCCGTAAGCTTAACAAACTACGACTTCACACTTTCAGTGCAATATTTACCTGCTTTTTGGGGAGATGAGGCCCAAGACACTCCTCCAGCTGCCTTAAGGACAGGGGCCGGCTACTTAACTCTCTTATCAGTACCTCCATTATGTCAGGCTCAACTATTTCTTCATTAAAAGTTCATAATATCTGGAAAGATAATAATTATAGCATACAGAATGTTCCTTAATAGCTCCAATTATATTGAGGTGCGAGATTAATGGCAATATAAAAATATAAAGACCTATACTTGGCTCGCAGCCCAAGTGGTTGGGCAATAGGAACCTGGCAATTAGGGAGTTTCTGGAGGTTGCATCTTGCAATAGTCAATGATCTTTCGTTTGCCTGTGCCACTTCAATGCCCTTAACATAATGCCTACAGTCCCCGACTACTGTGAAGCCATACGGTGAACCACACCAAATTATTCTAATAAGCAGGCGATGAGTCACAAGAACGTGGCTAAATTATGTTGACCAGACCACACACTAGAAGGTGAAGGGACGACGACGTTGCGGTCCGTCCTGGACCATTCTCAAGTTGACCATTCTCAATCGACTTGAGAATGGTCCACGATGGACCGAAACATCGTCTAGATTAGGTTAGATTGGGTGGGTTGGGTTAGGTGGGGTTAGACTGAATTAGGTTTGAATAGATTCAACTGGGTGAGATTAGGATAGATAGATTCAACCGGGAGAGATTAGGATAGATAGATTCAACCGGGTGAGATTAGGATAGATTCAACTGGGTGAGATAAGGATAGATAGATTCAACTGGGTAAGATTAGGATCGATAGATTCAACTGGGTGAGATTAGGATGGATTCAACCGGGTGAGATTGGGATGGATTGGGTGAGATTACAATGACTTGGGTTAGCTTTGCATGGATTGGGTTAGGTTTAGACAGATTAGGTTAGAATGGGTTACAATAAGGATGGACTGGGCTAAGTTAGGTTTAGATAATGATAGAATGGGTTAAGAGTGAGTTAGGTTAGGATGGATTGGGTTAAATGTCTAAATTCCAGTCACGAACCAGTATCCCCCGTCAAGCCTGCCAAGACACTCCCGTCAACCAAGACAACACCCTCAAGCCAGCCACCCAAACACTCAAGGGCCTCCAGTATTCACTTTGACACTCACAATCGGCCTTATGGCTGATTTTCAACTCTAAGCTTCGTGAATTATTGAACGCGAGCAATAAGAACATAGCGAGCATTAGAGGTCTGGCACTCTGCACCATGGAGGGTACAGAGGCAGTGCCCACATGATCCTTGAAGAGCTTACCGAAGCTGGAGTGCGTCTTCCAAGTGTGTTGATGGGCTTTGCCTCTCGCCACCAACAGGGGTTCAAAAAGACCCCAGGAGGCAAGCCTGTGACGTCACACACCATGTGTTTACTATAAATAAAACAAACCTTTATTATTTATTTTTACTATGACAGGTTAGTTGGAATTTTTATGTTAGGAATGGATAAGTTAGGAGAAGTTAGGTTAGGAGAGAACAAGTTAAGGTTAGGATAGAACACGTTTTTATGACGTAACACTGGTATAACTTTAAGCCCTTTTTGAACCCTTCTTTACCGCCAGTCCGCAATGATGCCAACACCGAAACACCTCAACACCACGTGCTTCTCTATTTATATTTACTAATCTAACTTACTTTTCCACATATTGAAATATAAAATATATAAGTTAATAACAGAAAAGCATCTTTACATGAACTATATATCTCGCTATCTAGAATTTACATTCCCAATAAAATTAGTTTGATGCGACACACTGGCTTAGAAAAACAGCTGATCTCAAACGTGTTTTGTTGAATATTTTATAAAAGGAATACGTATATATATATGTACATGTATGTATGAGAATGTGTACATGTATATATAACATTAATAATTTTGTAACTAGCGTCAAAAAATTTTTATTTGCTTAGCTAAACGAACTAGAGGGTTCAGTTCCAATTCAATTTCTTTCTTTATTATGCACCCCATACCCATCCCGTGGGCGGTGGTGGAAAGGATTACAGAGGCACATAATCGGTTCAGGAACTGAACCCTCTAGTTCGTTTAGCTAAGCAAATAACAATGTTTGACGCTAGTTACAAAATTATCAGTGTTGTATACACATGTACACACCCTCATACATACATGTACATATATATATATACGTATACGCATATACATACACATACATATCTAATCACCCACACAAATACACACATCAATAATCTTTGTGTCACAAGTGGCACAAAGAGGTGTCACAAGTGACATTACAAGAGGCTCACAACAGTCACTATACAAGGCACTTTACATCTATGGTGAGTCACACAGTTACTAGTCTTGCTCCACACCCACCCAACTGGGCGGCAGCTTTACAGTCATGTGCATGCATTACCTACAGTAAGCAAATTTTGGATACTTCGCTAAAATTTCGGGCAGCACATCATTATGAATGAAGTACTTACACATTTCTTGGACACTATTGATAGTGTTATCTCTAAATTCCGCAATTTTTTCACATTCCATTATACTGTATAATGACGCAAAGTATGCGAATAGTTCTACTGACAGAGTTTACATTTAGTCAAATCTACATCACCAGATGTTACAAACTCCCAGAGGTACTTGTAGCCGAGCCTAAGCCTAGCAGTGGTAACATCTAGAAGTCTGCTAACATTATTGGATGACCCATAGACGTGCGACATAGACTTCATGCATAATAGAATGATGATAGATGGAGTAACTGGTGTGAATTTCACTTTGCCTCAAGTCTCCGAAATTTAGTTGATGTTCCTGGGATATTGCTGCCCTCAGGCTGCTCAAAGGCAGTCCAAGTTGGTAATCAATTCCCTCTTTACGAGCAAGTCTTGGCTAGCTCATCAGTTCTAGCATGCGTTCCTGAACCGATTATGTGCCAATTCAATTTCTTTCTTTATTATGCGCCCCATACCCATCTCGTGGTGCCTCTGTAATCATTTATACCACCGCCCACGGGATGGGCGGTGGTATACTATTGGTATAGTGGTACTATACTATTCTAAACTATTGGGACCGACTAAAGAGCCTAAAACTGTACTCCCTTGAGCGCAGGCGGGAGAGGTACATAATAATTTACACGTGGAAAATATTAGAAGGGCTGGTCCCAAACCTGCACACAGAAATAACATCATATGAGACCAGAAGACATGGCAGGATGTGCAGAATACCCCCGTTGAAAAACAGAGGTGCAACTGGTACTCTGAGAGAGAACTCTATCAACATCAGAGGTCCGAGACTGTTCAACACGCTTCCACTACACATAAGGGGCATAACTGGCCGACCCCTCACAGTGTTCAAGAGAGAACTGGATAAGCACCTCCAAAGGATACCTGATCAACCAGGCTGTGACTCGTACGTCAGGCTGCGAGCAGCCGCGTCCAACAGCCTGGTTGATCAGTCCGGCAACCAGGAGGCCTGGTCGACGACCGGGCCGCGGGGACGCTAAGCCCCGGAAGCACCTCAAGGTAACCAAGGTATGGGTATGGGGTGCATAATAAAGGAAGAAATTTAATTGGAAGGGGGTGGTAGGAGAAAAGCACACAGAAACTGTATTGGAGGGGATCTAAACATTCCCTTTAATGCGTTATGTGTGGTTTCCTCCGAGGCTAAGGGCCCCCTTCTTCCAGCCAGAAGTGGTACTCCCTCCCTTTTTGTTTTTAATATATATATATATATATATATATATATATATATATATATATATATATATATATATATATATATATATATATATATATATATATATATATATATATATATATATACCCACCTCAAGACTCCGCTCCAATATAGAAGCATCAAGAATATATATATATATATATATATATATATATATATATATATATATATATATATATATATAAAAGTTAATATATTTTATTTATTTTAATGGTTTTACCAATCTTTTAAAATAGTTTACTCAAAATTGCATTAATAGTAATAACAAATGATATTTTGCAGAGGTATAACTGCAAATCGCCTGTAGCGAAAACATATATGTATTATCCACATATAATCTTGAATCTATATACATATATATATATATATATATATATATATATATATATATATATATATATATACATATATATATATATATATATATATATATATATATATATATATATATATATATATATATATATATACACAATACAATACAATTTTATTTAGGTAAGGTACATACATACAATAAATATTTACAAGGATTGTTTAACTTATAGGTATAGCTAGTACATACAATGCCTAAAGCCACTATTACGCAAAGCGTTTCGGGCATGATAAACTTAAATGACAAGCTTAATACTAATTGAGCATAATGAGTAGAATGAAAACAAGAAATGAAAACATAGATGAAAAAGCAGCACAAATACAATTATGTCGACAAACAGCGCTCTTTAAAGAAAAAAACAGACATTGGTTGACAATAGAAGGGTAAGGTAGGTTACAGGGAATTTATTAGGTATAGCTTCGCTTTTAACTTAAACTGGTTGAGAGAGGTACAGTCTTTAACATGGTTGGGAAGGTCATTCCACATTCTGGGCCCCTTGATTTGTAGAGCATTTCTAGTTTGATTAAGTCGTACTCTAGGAATATCAAAACTGTATTTATTTCTGGTGTGATGCTCATGGGTTCTGTTACAACCTTCTATGAAGCTTTTGAGATCAGGATTGGCATTATAGTTTAGCGTTTTATATATGTATAATACACATGAGAGAATGTGCAGTGACTTAATGTCTAACATATTCAGAGATTTGAGTAGGGGTACCGAGTGATATCTGGGGCCAGAATTGGATATTGTCCTAATAGCAGCTTTGTGTTGAGTAATTAGAGGACGTAAGTGATTTTGGGTAGTAGAGCCCCAAGCACAAATACCATAGTTGAGATATGGATAGATATATATATATACATATATATGTCGTACCTAATAGCCAGAACGCACTTCTCAGCCTACTTTGCAAGGCCCGATTTGCCTAATAAGCCAAGTTTTCATGAATTAATGTTTTTTCGACTACCTAACCTACCTAACCTAACCTAACCTAACTTTTTCGGCTACCTAACCTAACCTAACCTATAAAGATAGGTTAGGTTAGGTTAGGTAGGGTTGGTTAGGTTCGGTCATATATCTACGTTAATTTTAACTCCAATAAAAAAAAATTGACCTCATACATATTGAAATGGGTAGCTTTATCAATTCATAAGAAAAAAATTAGAGAAAATATATTATTTCAGGAAAACTTGGCTTATTAGGCAAATTAGGCCTTGAATAGTAGGCCAAAAAGTGCGTTCTGGCTACTAGGTACGACATATATATATATATATGGCTCCCAAAATTTCACTAAAGCAAATGTAAATTAATAAAGATAGGTTGTGTTAATTAAAAATATCATTACTAGTGAGAATGATTATCCTAACACATGGCAAACACGAATTCTAACAAAAACATCAACAATACAAAAATCACAATCAGAAAAAAACACATAATAGTAACCATTTTATCTGAACCGGGAAAACAAAACTGTTTAAAGCGAATGCTGCAAATTTCCCACGATGTTTGGAAAATTCCCACGGTTGGCAGAATTTTCCCAGGGATCTCCCAAGCACGCGAAGAGACGCGGAAACCGCTCATATCGCATTAGGCAACGCGGGTGTGTCTCTGGCGACGAAAAGGAGTCCGAGTGGATAATTATTTCGTGTAGCAAGATCTAGGAAGTGAGAAAATGTCTAGAAGATTTTTTTTGCTTTCGAGAATTATTATGTGATATATGTGTTGGTCCGAGAGAGAGAGAGAGAGAGAGAGAGAGAGAGAGAGAGAGAGAGAGAGAGAGAGAGAGAGAGAGAGAGAGAGAGAGAGAGAGAGAGAGAGAGAGAGAGAGAGAGAGAGAGAGAGAGAGAGAGAGAGAGAGAGAGAGAGAGAGAGAGAGAGAGAGAGAGAGAGAGAGAGAGACAGACAGACAGACAGACAGACAGACAGACAGACAGACAGACAGACAGACAGACAGACAGACAGACAGACAGACAGACAGACAGACAGACAGACAGACAGACAGACAGACAGACAGACAGAGACAGACAGCCAGACAGACTTAATATTACCACTCATAATGGATAATGTCAAATTTCTGACAAATTCCCCGTGTTCTGCATGTAATAGTCTATTTAATCAAATGCTGTAATTTGTGATATACTTGTCTATTGTGGTGTTGGGGAACTGTATGATCATCATACGAGAGGAGTCAGGCTTCATCGCAGAGTCTCAATTAGACTAGGCATTTTGGAAGGCTAATGGATAATTCCGTTATGAGGAGCTCTTCAGCTGATTGAAAAGCCCAT